GGGGGGTGGTTTTGCGGGTCGACCCCCCCCCCTCCCCCCTTTTGAAATGTAAAACAAATAAAATCATTTTTCTGTATCATAGATAGCAATTTCCCGTAACTTGAAATGCTTTTTAGACCCCAAGACTAATAAAAACGCGCATATTCCAGCGTTCGATCGGAGCTGATAGCTGTTTCGATCTAACTCGGCAAAATAAAATTTTAGAAACCCCCCTTTGAAAATTTCTGTCTACGCCCCTGTTCTTAACGCTTATCATGATGTGCCACACCCGCGGGTCTCATGCTAACTAGTCAATAAATTATCTTATATCATTATCATTTCACAGATTAGTAATGATTAGATATGTAAAATAGATAACAGTTTCACATGAGATAAGATATTGTGAGATCGTGTTTTTAAAAATTTCTCTCATACATTATTATATCATGAAGATATATGACGTTATGGACGACCAACAATTGGGCCAGGTACAATTTCTGATAATTATCTCTGGACTCTGCTCTGTTTCAGGCTCTAAATGGAATTATTTAGCTCATTGGTTCCGAAACCGCGGCCTGCGAGCCAATTACGGCTTACGTAACGATTTAATATGACCGGCCAATCTTAAGTGAAATAGTTTAACTCTTTGTTTTATTCCTTCTGCATTCTAGATACCGACAATTCTTACGTCATTATCACAATTTAAGCATGTGTTTATTCGTAACAATTCAATTATACCGGTATCTTAGTTATACTTATCGGCCCTGTGCAGGCGATCCACTCTTCTGGCCACAAATATCCTTTCGCTTCTAATTTTGTCTCCTGATCAACTTATTTAGCCTGTGATACAAACATAATTAAGACCTGCGCTGTAACCATTTGGTTATCACTGCCACATCATACTTTCCCCTTTTTTTAAACTATATTTCTAGATATTTCCTAAAAATTCACAATTTAATAAAGATGTATATTAAGAAGTAATAAAATATAAAAGCCTTTCAGAATGTAGGGTTCAATATTTTTATGTAGATATGGATTTTATATGCACAGTTTCAAGTATTGAATAGTATTTAAATTTTATGTATTTTAAATTAAAACCGTATATTCCCAAAGAAGCATTCCTATTTTATTAAACGTAACCAGAGTTATAAAACTTCCAATATATTTATTGGCTTCCGACATTTACTGCTTGGTCAATATTTGTGGGTTTTTGATGTTTATTTGAAGATTCAATATTTTTATGGCTCGTAGGTCTTAGGTGGGATTCAGTTGTGAAAGGTAGTGCAGACACTCTTGTAGGGTTTTAGGTAGGATTCGGTTCGAGATAAAAATTGTGATCTGTCTGTAGTGTGTATGTTTTAGAGCAGACACGAGCCAAATGCGGCTGGGTAATTCAATCTGGCCCGTCTGATGCTGTCACAACTGAACTAAAACCAAATTTTGCCGTTTTAGCCGAAAATAGCTCAATGAATTTGGTGGGATTGCGATCAAATAGAGTTTTGGCATAAGGCTTATCATTTTCCACTTTTGCTTTCGTAAAATTGTATATTGTCCATAAAACGTAACTTTTACTTCATACTTACCCGCCAGTCTAGATGGGCACAATTTTTGGCCCCCGGTCCGAGAACCTTGCCCACCTCTGTGTTGAAGTATAAAGTTCTTACTCAGTGAGCCGAGGGCCATTGCAGGGACGCAGAAACATTTCCAGATGGGCCGAAAACCTATGTTATTAATAAATTTAGTTATATTAGATCAGCGGACGGCAACTTCTCTAGTCGGCGGGCCAGATGTTGGAAAATGAAGTCCTCGTCGGGCCGGATTATTACAAAAAATCCTGCCATATCCAATTTTTGTTAAATGCTTGACATTCTCTGTCAACTTTACGATATTCCATGGTTAATAAAACTTAATATAAATCTAATTTCTAAAATCTATTTTTATTTAATATATAAATATAACTGATAACAGTAGTGGGGAATGTTTACAGCGCTCTCTGCCAGGGTTGTCCAAAACGAATCGAATATTCGAAAACATTCGAATATCAAAGTATTCGAATACCTTTTCGGCTGATTTTCGAATAATTCCGAATAATAGCCACTTTTCGCCGTCAGCGAGGTGTTTCGTTTCGTTTTAAAGAGAAATCTTCAAACGATTCTCCGCGATTTGTCGCGTTTTGTAATGACGGTGAAATAGTATCGGCGCTTTGTTTGTTATCTTCTGTGCCAGCATGCGCCTCATATTGTTGCAACACATTTGCACGGTTGTGACATTGGCACTATTGCCATTTCCTTGCAAGGCTTCTAATTTACGCATTCATTTGTATTAAGTCACGAGTCTCACATAAATCCATTACCAGTAAGTCAGATATTAAATACCGGTAAGTTAAATAAAGTTGTGCGCTTTGTTACAAATTATGACACCCAATAAATTGTCGCAGGTTGGAAAAAATGAGTTGATTTATTAGGAAAAATCATTAACACTCTTTCTCGCTTTTTGGCAAATAATTTTGATAATGATAGTCAAAAGGTATCGACTTTATACCATGGTGATTTTCAGTTGCGACAAAATATTCAAATTCGTGAACAATAACAGCATTTGAAATGCCTTACCGTATTAATTTGATTTTGTTTAATTAACGTAACTCATGGTTGTGTCAACTAACGAAAAAATAAAAGTATTACTATTCAATACCGAGGCGATCTGCAGACATAAATTGTGTGGTAAACTCCCCCATTTATGATTAATTTTTTATTCCTATTTCCGTACAGCATCTAAAATGCCTTACTGTATTGATTTAATTGTGTTTAACGTAACTCATAGTTACGTCGACCTTACGAATAAATGAATGCATAACTACTCTAAGATACGGCGGCAATCTGTTGACATAAAATGTGAAGTAACTGCCTGATTATAATTAATTTTCTATTCCCAGTTTTGTACTTACAAAAAACAAAAGCATTACAACTTTAAAATAATATGACAATCTGTGGACATATGTGTGGTAAAATGCCGAATATAATTAATATTTAATTTATATTTTCGTACTCACAAAAAAAATAATTTATACTTTTACCCACTTTCGGCAAATAGTTTTGATAATGATAGTTAAAAGTATTGACTTATTTAATAAATCGACGACGGATAACAGAATTTGAAATGTCTCGCAATAGGCTATTAATTTAATTGCGCTGAACGTAGCCTAACTCATGGTTGCGCCGTCCTACGAAAAAATGAAAGGATTATTTTTATGTAAATAACTTTAAAATACCACGGCAATCGGCAGGTACAAATTTTCTAGTAGTCAGCTTGTAGGTAGTGGTTATTCCATTGTTTATTGTATGCAAATACGTGCATACACCAAGATAAGCTTATTTTACTTAAATTTATTTTCGAAGTATTCGAAATTTCATATTCGAAAATAATAATTTCGAATGTATTCGAAATAGTGAACTATTCGGTATTGGCCATCCCTGCTCTCTGCTTTAATCTTATATTGTTTGTTTAACAAGTGTGCTAACGCAATTGTTTGTTCACTAAGACAATTGTTTATTTCCCCAACTCGCACTGACAGTGCGGTGAGAGTAGAGCGATCCGCAATTTTCAGGAATGATGCGCCGGACCACATTACAGAGTGTGGTTGGATACAGTCAGCGGGCTGGTCAAAATCTCGTCGCGGGCCGTATGTTGCCCACCCCTGTATTAGATGGTAGTAACAATGATTGATGATGCTGTTTTTTGCTACAGGGTTGCAATTTTCATTCTAAATAATAAAGCGAAATTGTCTCTTTTTGCAGAAAGAATTTTTTGTAGTTTTTCCCTATATGAAAAACTTGATGCGCCACAAAATTTTTGCGTTGCGTAAATGAGCCATGAAAGAAAGATTGTAAAGATCGAAAACTACTGTCTAAGATAAAATAGGGTAAAATGTGCGCCGGTCAGTATAGGTGTAGTAGGGATATAGTTGTATCTTTTGAGCAGTGCTCGGTAGGGCTGTCCAAAATCGAATGATTTTTTTGATTCAAATCGAATATTTTCGCTGAATCGAACCGAATAATCGAATATTATTGCCCAATCCAAAATCTGTCTCTATTATAAAATAAACACCTGTCCTTCGATGTTGTGGAAACGTATGTGCAGTTACATCTTACTTACTGCTGGTATTTTGCAATACAATGTTTTCAGATTTTCAGAACCACTGTCTCAGATAAAATAGGGTAGAATATGCGGCGGTCAGTATAGGTGAAGTAGGAGTTCAGATGTATCTTTAGAGCAGTGGTCGAAAAATTTTTATGAAGTGGAGCCCGAATAGTAAAACGTTTGAAGGCCCAACAATTTAATTGGAAAATTTAAATTTAATCACGTAATAAACTTACAAAAGGGCGTATAATAATTGGTAATTGAAACTAGTGCGAACGTACCGATACATTTGGTGATACAAGTTATTAGCTTACGCAATTTAAATGATGCAATACAATAACCATATACGCAAGAATGAACATATCAGAATTCGTGTAGCGGCGTTTCAAGCTCATACCTTAGTGTTTTCAAACTATTAATGAGGTAGCCATTTTGTTGTTTTTATTGGTACTCTTACTAATATGGTATAGTAGTCAGTGGATCCTACTCGGAGGGCCGCAGAGTAGTCAGTGGGGTGCCACAATACTAGCTGCAAAACTGACTTTACTTTTCCGTTAAGAAACTTCCGGTTTTCATCTATTCAGTGCTTGATAAGGCTATTTCACTTGATGTTTTCACTTCGTTGAGCATTAAATACTTGAACATATAGGATTTGGAATCTACCAATCATATAAATACCACTGGATTGATAAACAGGATTGCTAAACACCTCCGGAAAGGAGCCACAAGCCATAATAGGTTTGAAACCATTGGTTTAGTTATTTGTATTTGTGTGATACAATATTTATGGTCACAATATCAACAACAACACCAACTTGGCGAAGCGATCTGTATGTCCACTGCATGTCTAATGAGTTAAATAATGATTTTTTTTTATTTCACAGACTGTAATGTCTTCAGTACTCGTGGAAACTTCCGTGATTGCAGATTTGCACACAGCGTTAAATGAGCTCTCTGTTGCCTCCAGTGCAGGAAATTCAGACATTGAAAAATGCGCGAGTCGTATGCAAAAACTTTTAAAACCATACAGGGTAAGTGATTACTGGTATTATTAGAAAGAGTGTGAGTAGAGATGTGTGCAACGCTACCAAGGGCCTCTGATTACGCTGCATGGGTACGCAGGTTTTAACGTCACGGGGGATAATTATGTTTAACAGGGTGGCCAACATGTCGACGCGTTCCGAGTAGTCGATCGCATCTGATGTTGAGTGAATTTAATATATTACATCACAAAAATGACTTGAACCAGTTCCTAGCATGTGTGTTTTAAAACGGGAATAATAATACTAATTAACAATGTTTTTTGAGGAATTCTCAGCGCTTGCGACTAAAAATTAGGCAGATGTTAGATTTGAATTGCATGATTACTTATCGAATTTAATCGGTAAGTATGTTGATAGGTTTTTGTATGTCTGTATGTATGTCTGTTTGTCTGTTAGATGCACGCGATATCTCACGAAAGCGAGATTGAATCTGCTCCAGATTTTGTATGTGCATTCATCTTATCTCGGACCAGAACTCTATTGATTTTGGGCGAAATATGTCGTATAATTAGCGAGTTATCAATCAATTATTGATATAGTGATCTAGATTTTTGTAATACGAGAGAATTTTGAGACCCGCCGAGTGTGTGTGTGCGGTGCGCAAGTTACAAGAGCGGATGAATCGAAACCGCAGTTTCTGTTTTGGGTTTCCAACCGATATTCTCGTTTATCTGTTCATTCAGTATTCATTCGTTTTTGTGCATGACCTTATTGCCAATCAGTCGATCGCTAGCTATTTTGGTGATTTTAATTGATCGCGGTCGAAAGCAGGTTGGCCATCCCTGATGCATGATAGATAATCAAACAAATCTATTTATTTCAGAATGAAAACTTGTGTCCAAGTCAAGTAGTCTGGCTTCATGATTCGATCTCTAGCACCTCCGATGGATCGGATGATGAAGAAATAGCAAGAGGGAATAGATCCAACTTCAATAAGGTAAGTTTGAATGATTTTGGATTCAATTTAACACTGAAATAACAGCGCTCCAGAAGTGTGTGTACCAATATGAATTTTTTTTTTACTTTCATTCCAATTTTCCTTATTTCAGTTATATTACGAGTTTCGGACTGTCTGTGCTAGCCAAGTGAATATCCCCCTGCCCATAGGTTTCAGTCCCTTTACACAACTTGATGAAAAGTAGGCAAACAAAATTAGTTACCTACATTATGGTACACATACTTGTAGAACGTTGAAATTCGAACACTCTCGCTACTGGCTTGGCTGTAGAAATTTGGTTTCTACAGTAATAACTACTTATCCTTACTCTATGTTTTAGTGTTTGTGAATTTTTATGCATATAATGCAAGGATACTGTAGTACGAATAAAGATTACAATTCTATGTGATTCAGAGTCATACTGCACACTGACACAAATATTTTAATACAGCATCCTTGCGTTATACAAATGTGGATTCACGAGCGACAAAAATAAGGGAGAATAGTCTCAGACCAGAAATATATCTATGTTAGTGCGCAGCAAGACTTTTTGTATCACTCAAAAGTATGAAATAAATTCTACAATACAGTCCCTAAATAGTTACCGTATATGCTCGTTTTACCGCCCGATCTTGATTAAGGGCCCGTTTAAATAGCCGCCCGTGTGAACAGAACATAAAAATAAAAAAGGGCCGGTGCTTGAATACCCGCCCAATGTAAAAGCTGATTTTTCAGTGGTAAAGAACAATAGGATTGATTACGTAACACCATGGTTCTCGAACTAGGCGTTGTGACACCCAAGTGCGTCGTTTCAATATTGATAGGGCGTTGCAAAACTTTTCTTCTTTTGCGGACTTGTACCTGCGGTGCGTAGAAAAAGTCAAAATTTTCGTTATTCTCGTTTAAATCATACTTGAGAACTGGAAATAACAATATATTAATTATTGTAACGATCGAAAATAACACGCGCCCGTGCTTGAATAAGGGCCGGTTTAAATAAGGGCCCGGTTGGTGATAAATATGGGCCCGGGCTACAAATGAGCAAATACGGTAATTGCATGGGAATATCTGTTTCTTTTCTCATATATCAACATTCTGGGTCGAATAGAAAAAATGACAATAACAGTTAGTCGCGCACTGGTCTAATACATATTGTATTTCTGTTTCCAGAGAACGTCGAGTCGCCGTCAAGATTGGCCGAATAATGATGGCGGGGTTTGGACAACGACTACTTCAGCCACTGGATTGCCGTCCCATGAACCTGGTCCTGTTAAGTCAAAACGCCTACCCAAGATACAGAAAACACCCTCGTAAGTTGTTTTTTTTTAGGTGAGGGGTGCATAGGTAGGGGGTACAAAAGTCTTCTCCAAAATACAGGAAATGTCTCATGCCTTGGGAAATACTTTAAATGCCAAAGTTTTTTCACTATTGGGCAGTTTTTTTTTAAAACTGGGATGTTGCATAAATGAGGGTTAGGGTCTTGGTGAGGGGGCTCCACAAACTCTCCCCTAAAGTACAGACAATGTCTTCTGCCTTGAAATATACTTTTGAAAGGCAAAATTATTTTGATCATCGGGTGTCTATTGACAGTCAAATTAAGCATCTCCCTGAACTTTAAATTTTTAACTTTGTAATTAGGTTTCGAGCTGTATTGGAGTGTCTTTTCCAAAAAGCTGGGCACCTCCACAAGATATCAAAAACATCTCCAAAAATTATAAATAATTTTGTTTGAAATTCGGATGTGTAGGGTGGGGTGTTGGGCCAAGATATGTATTAGGTTTGAATTTGTTTTCGATTCCCCTTTTCCCTTTTATCTGTTCTTCAAGATTATTAATCGCTATGACGCTGGTGTGCACTTTGATTATAAAAAACATCAAAATTTGACTTCCACAATAACAATCCACAGAATGTGATGTGATTTTAACGAAAGTAAAATGTTGCGATGGAGTTTGGAGATTGCGATATTATGTGCATTACAAAAATGACAATCTATGGTAATGTAGACCAAATACCAAATGATAATTCAAACCTGTTATTTATACTTCCTTCAACAATTTCATTGCATTGCCCAGTTTAGTCATCTTAGTGTTCATATACTTGATCATTGTTACGAGCAGATTTTGTAATAACAATGGCAGTTACTCATTTTTGTTCGCTTATTTTACGTAATATCTTATTCTGTAACCTCCCACGTATTTTTACTTCCGAGATATCATCACATTTAAATGGATTTCTCTCATTGGCTTTTCTCTTACCCAGGATAAATATATAAATCCTATCCTAATTCTATTTGAACTAATTTTTTAGTCTCAAATTTGTTGTCGTGTTGTGTGGTACAACTGGCCATAATTGATCGGGATTTAAAAAAAAATATATATTTTCCTCGTCTAATGGACAAACTGATTTCTGATTTTAGATATATAAATTTGGTTGAGGTCACTAGAGGGCTTTTTATTTTTTTAGATTTCTCTTCAAAAATTCTCTCGAGTCTCAAGAGAGCACTATTTAACACCAAATCTTTTGATATTGATAATAAATAAGCACACTCTCATTTGACATTCAGAAACTTTTTCCTATGACATCCAGTATTATACTTATACAATTTTTCATATTTGTCCTTCCTGCTCAAATATATGAACATTGTTTTTGTTTATTTAAGGTAATATCTTAAGCTGCGACCTCCCTCGCAATATTTTACTTCCGTCACAATCACAGAATCATATTTAAATGTTTTTTTTTGTTTTTTTTTCGAGGAAACCCTTTCAAGTTTCCAATAATCAGTATAGGCCTACCTCATACACAGAATTCTGAGTAATTTGTAATTCTGCTTAGGCTAAATCATGGGTGCGCAACATTTTCATCGGCGGGCCATATAACCAACTTCAGACATTTAGCAGAGCCACACAATAATGCAAGATGTATCTCTTAGCCCTGACATGGGCAAACTACAGCCAGAGGTCCCGTATACTTGAAATTGTTTTTCTTCTAAATTTCCCATAGGAATCCACCATTTACCCCAAATTTTTTGATTTTTCTTTATCAATAGGCTCACTTCCATATGACATTCAGACACTTTTTCATATGACATCCAGTATTATACGTCTTCCAATTTTCTTACGCATTGTTTTTGTTTATTTAACGTAATATTTTAATCTGCGACCGCCCACGCTATATTTTACTTCCGTCACAATCACAGATTTCAATCATATTTAAATGGATTACTCTTGTTCTGTATTTTATCTGGAAATCCCCTTTATAGGAGAAATTTCAAACTGAATGAAATTCTCACAAAATTTGGACAAAAAAAAACGGAAAACATTTATTGAAAAAAATTTATCTTTTATATCAAAAAATTGAGTGTTACAAAAATACAAATAAGACAAGAGAGCTAGGCTCAAATATATGGACACGTAGCGCCACCCAATGGCAATAATTTTGATGACGTCATAACGAAAAAAAATAGTAATAGCCTTCTGGAGAAAAATTTTATCTTTAACCACTGAAAATTTCAAAGCAATTGGTCCAGTATTCGAAGAGAAAAGCGATTTTTTAATGATAATGATGAAAGAAAATAACAATAACAACAAAATTTTGAAACGATCGGTATGGCCACTAAACGTGTCCAAAAATGCATTTATTAACACTTAGACTTGGTTGGATCTGAAATTTTTAATTGCCAAGTTAGTCTGTAACAGCTATCAGGCTCAACCTAAGGCCATGTATGATTCGGAAAGTGTTTATTTTATTTACATTTCAAAAGAAGAGGGTTCCGACACGAAATGGGTGGGTTTTCAAGAGTTTCGGGGGTCTAAAAAAGTTTTTGGCTAAAAAAAATTGGTGCTCGCGAAGTATGCGCACCAAGATGTCGCATAACCTGAACCCTAACCTGGTACACATACTAGGTTCAGGTTGTGCGCCATCTTGGTGCACATACTTCAGGCGGTCCAAAAATTGCTATATATGGTGCGAAAAAATGATTTTTTTTGTTACATTTTAAAAGGGGGTTCCGACCGACTAACCCCATTGAATACACTCTTTCTTGGAACCTTCCTGTTTTAAATTCCTTTTTTATTTTCAGAAATACGCCTCACGATTCCCGATGCAGTTCTCCTATCAGCGGTAAAGACGTCGGAAGTTTATCGAGACGACGAACCATTCATAATATAGGACCCTATAGTCCAGGTAGGGTAGTGTTGGTTTGGCTGTGTTCCTAGCGAACTTTTTGTGTATATAAAGTAAATTCTCGCATATAAGCTGACCTCCTTAAAAGGCCCTTAAACGATAACCGGAAGCTGTAACCGACCAGCGGTTACGTGAACCACCCAACGACGTCAAAGAGTTCAGCAATCCACTCGCACATAACCATCCCTGCATGGGTTTTGAACCTGCGAAGCCACGCAAAGTAGTCAGAGTTGCGGTGGCCAGCATAATCTCATAATGCTTAGCGCAATGCGCCACACCACCAAGCCGATTAGATATCAATGGTTGCTTGTAAAGGCCTTGTTCAGAGCAAAAGGCACCAACAGGCAATAACAATAGTCTTTCTTTCAGGTCGGTCTCAAACATTTTTTTCTTCTCAAGAAGAATCTGGCAACCCTGGACACAAGGAGGGGAAAGATGGTCGAAGAAGTAAATCATTTTCGCGTATGAGCATGCTTTGTTGCATCAATTTATTTTCTTCACGCTTTTATTAACATCATTTTGTGGTAAAATTTTGTCTTGAACGCAAAATTTTAGGTGTAATTGTGCCACAGTGTTTATTAAAACGCCTCTAATTTCAAGCTTTTTAACACTTCAGTGCTCTGTTTCAATTCTAGCATAACCCCATCCCCCCTGTAAAAAAAAATGGCTGCGCTACGTGGAGTTTTTGGAAATGCCCTTACTCTGGGTCACTATCAAAATTCTTGCCTACAAAACAAATTCTAACTCCCGGTTTCTGCACAGCAATTCCAACAGCAAAATCTTTCGACGCTATTAATTTGGTTTCTGCGGGGCTAACTACTTAACCTTCTTTTTTGCCGGTGGAACTGTATGCGTATAATGCAAGGATGCTGTTGCAAGAGTAAAGATAACAATCCTAAGTGATTCAACAGTCTTACTGCACACCAACACAAATGTATTTCTGTAACGTAACTTCTTCAGACATACATCAACTATTAAAGAACTATGTTCGTTCAATGTTACAGAAATATATTTGTGTTAGCGTGCAGTAAGACTCTTGAATAACTTAGAATAAAAATCTTTGGTACTCCTGTAGTATGTGTATAAGGTTATGGTTGGGCAGGTATTCTCAGGTACAAATACTACAGGAGTCACTTGGATCGAACTCGTAATAGAACTAAAACAAGGAAAATTGGAATCAAATTATGGCCGAACCCTAACCTGGTACACATACTACGTTCAGATGGTAGACATCGAAACGTAGTATGTGTACCATATTAGGGTTAGGTCATAATTTTTTCCAATTTTCCTTGTTCTAGTACGAGTTTGGGGACTAGCCAAGTAACTCCCGTAGTATTTGTATCTGATATTATGGCCTAACCCTATCCTGGTACACATACTACGTTCCGGTGTCCGCCATCTTGGTTCACATACTTCGGGAGTACCAAAAAAATACAAACGGGGTGCTGTATATTTTCATTTCTGTCTCTGATTTTGAAATTTGGTGTTCACCTTGATCTAACCAAGTTCATTCAGTGTTCACTTCAAGTAATATAACCTCACCTGGGTGTCATCACTTGATTTTATTTTTGTTAACATTTAAAAATCAATAGTGTTCACTTTACTTTGTAATCACATTGTGGTGTTCACCTTAATATTTTGATTTTCAATCGTGTTTCTTTCCAATTGTATTAAATACCTTTATTTATTTCAGTGTTCACTTCGTCAGATTATGAAAGTTGTGATAACTTACTAACTGATGGAAGCGAAGGAGAAACTGTAAAACAAATGCCAGATCTTCAACAACCAACTTCAGCCGGAAGAAGGGGAACACTAGAAGTAAGCATTAAATGGTTGGCAAATGTTAATTCAGAAATGGGTACTCCCGAAGTGTGTGAACCAAGATGGCGGACACCGAATCGTAGGATGTGTACCAGGTTAGGGTCAGGCCATAATTTCAGGTACAAATACTACGGGAGTCACTTGGCTAGTCCTCGAACTCATAATAGAACCAAAATAAAGAAAATTGGAATAAAATTATGGCCTAACCCCAACCAGGTACACATACTACGTCCCAGTGGCCATCTTGGTTTACATACTTCGGGAGTACCCAGAAATGCCCATAAATATAACCTAAGTCAGGTCTACTTAACTGGCGGACCGTGGTTCGAATCCAGACACTTCGGGTATTCGATTCGGACCTCGTTCAATTCTTTATTTTGGATCATTAGCCCACTTTTAAAGTTTTCTCTCATGAAATGACTTTGATAGTTTTGTATATATATGAAAAGAACTATAACGCCACAATAAACAATCTTGATTAGCTAATATTCCTTAGTCGGCCGAGGAAGTGCGTGTTTAAGGATGCCGAAATATAATTTCTGGAAAGACAGGACCCAAATATTTTTAATAGTTTTGTATGCGGATCTTCACTAAAATAGTTGAGACAACAACCAAACTAACTCCCAAGACACACCAACAGGAATAAGCTCTCAAGTGCAGAGAGCACATGGCTACTTCACCTTCAAAGCTGGTTGGTCATGATCAATCATCTGTGACTTATGACATCACAGGTCATGCATGGCCATCTGGGAAAATACTAGTTACCAGAAATACAATACAGATACAGCAAATTCTGTTTTCTTATTGTATTCATAATAGAAATGGCCAAAACAAATTGAATACTCAAATCAATCTGACATTAAATCAATATTCCCGATTTTTAATTCTTTATTCTAAAAATGAACTAGAATTTTTCAATTATTTATTGTATTTCTCACTCTTAACAACTTTAAAATTTGATTTCTTCAAATTTCTGTCGTTTTTTGAACGAATTGGAGTAAGAGTCTGGCGTATCCTTCCCCCTATAAATTCATTCCCTGCTTATACTTAATTTCAATTTTTCAAAACACGAAATTTTTTCTTTTTTTCAGGGGTCATCTCACGACAATGAGCAAAGTCCGAAGATTAGAATGTTGATAACTGAGCCGACCATAGATGAAGGAAGTGTGAGTATAAGTTTATTACGAATCCATAATCAGCACAACATTAAAATGATTGGTAAAAACAAATAAATAAATACTGATTATGAAATCAGGAGAGCAAACAAAACCTTAGATAAGGTTTAAAACCTACAGAATATAATATGGATGGTTTTGTCAAGAAGAAGTGGCGCGTGTTCACCATCTAAATTGTTAAATTTATCCACTCACACGTGCGCACACAACCAAAGAGATATTATTAGTTAGAAAAACCCGATAAACTCAAAATAATATAGGGTAATGGGTAGGGCTGGGCATTTCGAATCGAATAGTAAATTATTCGAATCGGTTTAGAGTAAATTTTTTCGAATGGCGGCCATCTTGTTTTACTCTTTCCGCCAATGGTCGAGGTAAATTTCTCAATTTTTTTTTTCATTGAAGCCATATTTTTTCAACACAATTCTGACTTGTGACTCTTTTCTGTATTGAGGTATTGATGAAAACGTGTTCTTTTTATTGTCAGTGATGTATTCTATGTTTTCAGTAATTTATGTGTCTGGAGGACCTAAAATACTAAGAAATTTACATACAATATCATACCTTCCAAGTATTCGAGATTCGATTTGAAAAAAATTATTCGATTCGATTCTGAAATCATCAGGTATTCGAAAATGCCCAGCCCTAGTAATGGGTCTCATCAGCCCCCAGCCCCTCATTTTAATAATCCTAATCTATGCCTAAGGCATATTTTCGGGTTTTCCCCTCCCTCTCATTTTTAAAATCCCATCCAATGACAGGAAGAAGATGAACGACTATTAGCAAGCGATGAGAGTACGGATGATGAGCAGGCTTCAAGTCATAAATCATCCGATTGCGAATCTTATACCGAGAATTTAACTGTGGATGGGTGAGTAGATAAAGCATAGGGATGAAATATTAACCATTGCCATGAAATTGGTACTCCTGTAGTGCAGGGGTGGCCAACCTTTCACATACCATGCGCCACGTTTTAAACATAATGTTTCAGATGCGCCATAAATCTCTTGTATTCCGACGCCTAATGTCCGCTCCTTGTTGAAATTATATAAATTTATAATACACACACATATATACACACGTATATGTAGATTTTACAATTTACAACTTCACATGAATAGAAATTAAGCAAGGAAGTATAATAAATAAAACTGATCAATTTTAAGTACCGCCTTTATGAGACTTTTGCTGCTGTTTTACTTTCGCCAGTTTTTTTTATTCTTGGAGTTAAGTTTGTTACTGAGAGGAGCAGTGCATTCTTCAAACTTAAATCTGTAAGTCTTGACCTCGCTTTGCTTTTAATTTATTTCATGACAGAAAATGTTTGTTCACATCTATATGTCGTTCCGAAACGACATATAAAACCCTAGGTAAATTTTCTCAGTTCTGGAAAATTTTCACGGGGTAACGATTGCCAAAACTTGATCATGTCAGCTGCACTTGGGACTGAAGAAAGCTCATCAAATTTAATTTTCAATGATGGATGAGTTTTCAAGTCAATTAGTTCCAATTGTATATTGCTTGGCATCTTCATTATGGTTAGTTCACTAAGTGAAAATGGGTTTATAAAAGCAAGTATAGAATCTTCTTCTTTTGAAATATCATGAAAACGACTTTTAAATGACTCTTGCAATAACTTGATTTTTTCTGTGTACATTGCCAAATTGCCATTACCAGCAGCACATTCACGGTGTTCTTTTATGTGAGGAAATTGGGACAAATCCTCTTTTTCCAACTGGGAAACGAAAAGTTTCAACTTCATCTTGAATGCGATAATGTCATTTACTAAGCTAGGAAATAGTTTGCTTTTGCCTTGCAATCTCAAATTTAGATCATTGAGATGGCTAGTAACATCAACTAAAAATGCCAAATCAAATAGCCAGTTTTTATCACATAAAAGTGCTCTTTCCTCAGGTAGCTCGTTTTTCTCTTCAAGAAAATCATGGACAGTATTTTTTAGCTTCCAAAATCTATTCAGCACTTGTTGACAACGGTCATTTGAAGTTTGGATGAAAAAGGTGGTATTTAGGGGTCATTTTCAGCATGTTGTGGGTTGATTTATTATAAATTTTTTAGGCTTGGGCAATTCAACTGGTTGTTCAATGGTTATTGGGAGATATTTGGGAAGTCTGGGCAATGGAAAATCCATGTTTCAAGCTGATGAATGACGATTTTCTATTTTTCCAGAAGTTTTGAACTTTTTACTTTAGTAGGGAAAAAATAGTAAATTTTACTAATTTTTGCTAAAAGTCTAGAATGAATGTCATAAAGTCCGTCCAAAAGCCAACGTCGATAATCGCCTGTTGTTTCTAGTTCCAACAAGCCGTAAGTGGGCGACGTGGAGTAAGGAGAATAGATTTTAGGTACAATCAAAAGTCTCCATGTAAATCGCAAAAAAACGGCTTGGCGTGGAGAAGCCAAGTGCAATTAACAATTTTGGCATGAAAAGGGTTAAAGATGCAATGCGCCACCTCTAATCATGCAATGCGCCACGTTTGGCGCATGCGCCATAAGTTGGCCACCCCTGCTGTAGTGTGTGTCCATGGGCGGACCCCTTGCAATTCTTTTAATGATTTCGGGCTTTGTACAACAGAGCATTGAATATTACAACAAAAAATCAATGCAACTTATAGTGAAAAACATTAAAAAATAATAAAAGTATATGACGAAGTTTAATGATATGGATGCACTTCTATGGCACAATTCTAGGTTAAAAACTGATTTTTTTTAATTTTCTCTTTCACAAGAAAACTCCCCATTCTTCATAGTTCCATTGCTTGATAAGATTATTTCACATGGTGTTTTTTCTTTTTGTTGATTATGAATTGGTTGAACATAATGGGATTTGTTAACAGTATAAATACCACTGGAATGATAAACAGGGGGGCATGAGTGCGAAAAGGTTGAAAATCACTGTTCTACAGTGGCCTTGCATTGCACCAAAGACGGGCAAACTAGGCACATTACTGATATTCTTTTCATAAACTTCAACTGGCAATGAGATACTTTGCTTTGTCAAATGAATTTGTGTTTAAGTTGTTGTCATCTAATATGCTCTATTAAAAAAATATTCAATTTGGGATGTTCATATCTTAATGATCTTTTATATTATATGATATGGTTTGTTAGAGAAACCTGCATACTTGCAAAGCCCCTGCATAAGGACAAAAGAATTAAGAAAGGACAAGTGGTCTTGAGTATCTCAAACTGCTGTTAACTAGTGTATTCAAAAAAATAACAAGAAAAAAAGTCAAATTTGTTTTCCCCCACAGGGTGTCGCCAGAGGAGCTTCATAGGATATTTACAGACGACGATTATAAAGCTGATTTGTTGGAAAAAGTCTACAGCTGGAATTTTCCAATATTCGAACTCGCCGATGAAACGCACTGTGTATTGAGCCAGGTATGGACACTAGGTGGCAGTAGGATTTTTAAGCGCTCCCAGAAGTATGTGCACCAAGATGGCGTACAACCTGATAACCCAAATCTGGTACACATACTATGTCCAGGTTGTGCGCCATCTTGGTGCACATACTTCTGGAGGTCTGATTTTTGTTAGGCTGGGAAATTGTGGCGGAGTTGATGTTGCCGACTAGGAATTTAGAAAGCGAACGTGGAAGTGCGGCCCCAACACTAGATGGCAGCATTAATTATACATTACTGGGGGGGAATAACTGTTGTAACTAATGATTATGTCATTCCTAATAATTCTCAGTGCCGACTCATCAGCTTTCCTCTCCTCCCAATTTAACAAATACCAATCTTTCTTACAGATGGCTTATAAATTATTTGATGACACTGGTCTGTTCGCAACTTTCAAAATTCCGAGGAAAGCATTCGTGGATTACATGCGTGCACTGGAAAACGGATACAGGAACATCCCATGTAAGTATCATAGGGTTGATTGAACGCAAATTGCAAGGGAACACTTTAATATGACACCTGGTAACAAGCTATAATAAATGATTGGGACCTTTTAAATATGACACAAGGGAACACTTCAATATGACATCTATGAAAATTCAATGTGACATATGGGAACACTTGCATATGACATCTTGGAACAGTTCAGTATGACATATAGGAACACTTATTATGACATTTTGTAGAACACTTTAAACGATAGTGTGAACACCTTTTATGTAACATATGGAAACACCTTTATATGATGTATGGGGAAAAAAAGGCCCCAGAGAAAGCTATGGCAACTGCAACACTTTATATGACATTGGGAACACTCTTATATGACATCTTGCTTTCCTATTTTTCTTTAGATCACAATCGAATTCATGCATCTGACGTTCTTCATGGTTGTTGGTATCTCACAACCCAACAAATACCGGGATTTTCTGAAACGTCTCCACTATTCAGCTCAGATTCGTCAGGTATTGAAAAAAATTTGGGGCTCCCGAAGTATGCGAACCAAGATGGCGGACATCGGAATGTAATATGTATACTAGGTTAGGGTTAGGCCATAATTTTAGGTATAAATACTACGGGAGGCTTTTGGCTAGTCTTCGAACTGATAATAGGACTAAAATAAGGAAAATTGAAATAAAATTATGGCCTAACCCTAACCTGTTACCCATGTTACGTTCCGATGTCCGCCATCTTGGTTCGCATACTTCGGGAGTACCAAAAATTTTGTGTCACCCCTCTAACCCTAACCCCCACTTTTATGAAACATTCATCATAATAAGCTCCTATACCTTCGCTCTGAACAAGGCTTTTCACAGTCCAATGCTTCCACTGTTTAGGGGCGTAGACAAGAATTTCCAAAGGAACAGTGCTGGAATTGCTAAGTTAGACCACAACAGTTCACAATTCTATAACATGGGCTTTCAAGAGTTGTGATAGTATTACAAAGCATTTCTGGCTACTAAAAATTGCTATGTCCAATGTAATAAAGCCCGCTTTTACCCCACACCCACCCCTCAGCCAAAATTCACTTTGATGTACAAGATTTGAAACAATTCAACATTTCCAGTTTTTTCATCCAGGGTTCTTCAGTCTCTGACTGGACCCGCTAGTAGGCATTTCAAAACCGCCCTGCTTTAGTTTGCTCGCCTATATGTTTATATTCTGTGCAATTCAGACAATACAATATGAATGAACTATTGCACAGGGTTCCCCAAACCTTAAGAACAGGGGTGCGCAAACTACGGCACACAAGCCACAAGGAAAAATTGTTCGCTTTGGAGAAAGGGCCATTTTTTGAATGATGTGCAATTCCCTAACAGCTCGTGTGAAGCGAACAATACATGTCATAAGATCAACAATTAAAATTTTTTGCCTGCAACTTACTAGAAAGCCTATGTTCAATAAAGGTGTGACTTGCTACCCAGTTATTTGTATCTGTCCCTCATGTATTAAAGATTGCACATTCTTAGTCTAAATAATTCAGTCACTTGCCAGTAAAGTTCAGTCAGTTCGCTACAGTAAAAAGGTTCACTTCTCAAACATCTTATTGTTTCAGATTCGGACAGTGGTACGGCGGCACACACACAAGTTAACACTGTAGGCAGTGGTTCGTTAGCTCAGGCAATCCCAGCTCTCGAACTTATGGCTCTCTATTTAGCTGCAGCCATGCATGACTATGATCACCCAGGCAGAACCAACGCTTTTTTGGTCGAAACAAGGCATCCTTTGGTAGGATTTTTCATATTTTTTTTGTTTTTTAAGCTAAATAACAGTCAAAATTTTTTGAATTTATTTCATCATGAAATTTGTTGAAATAAGAATCACTAATGTACTAAAGTCTTACTAAGAGTTGTTAAAAATTTACTTTTTTTTGTACCATAGTAAGATATATTACAATTTTCCCATTTTCCTAAGCGCGTACCGGTACCAGTTCATGACTTTCGAATCCATAAATATCAGAGGTGAGTAAGGATTTGGATCAGGAGTCAAAAATCTTAAGCACCTAGATTGGCAATGTGAGTGTTGCGCAAAAAGTTTAGAAACAAAATTTTATTTACGGTATTACGAAAGCAAAGGTGGAAAACAATGAGCCTTGCGCCAAAACTTAATCTAATCACAATCTTAAGAAATTCCTTGAACTATTGTAAAGCTAAAAACATCAAAATTTGGTCTTAGTTTGGTTGTGGCAGCATCAGACGGGCCAGATTGGATTACCCAACGGGCCGGATTTGACCCGGTGGGTTGTAGTTTTACCCGTGTCAGATATATATGAACATCGTTTCCTTATTTTTCAGGCCATGTTATACAATGACCGATCAGTTCTTGAGAATCATCATGCATCAGCGTCATGGGAATTACTTCATTCAAAACCTTCGTACGACTTTCTAGTAAATCTAGACGTCGCTGAGTGGAAACGATTGAGATTTTTAATCGTTGAAGCGATCCTTGCGACAGATCTCAAAAAACATTTTGAATTAATGTCTCGATTTTCGTCGAAAATTTCAAGACGCAACGACGCTAGTTCAGAAGTCGCTGACCCTAGCAGACATGAAGGTGGGATTTGATTTGTTTAGGAAAGGAAGTTTCTCCAATCAAGAAGGGATTACTTCCAAGAGAGGGATGGGATTTTTTTGGTACTTGCGAAGTATGTATACCAGATTAGGGTTAGGCCATAATTTTATTCCGATTTCCTTATTTTAGTTCTATTACAAGTTCGGGGACCGGACTGTCTGTGTTAGCCAAGTGAATATACCCCCTGCCCATAGGTTTTAGTCCCTTTACACAACTTGATGTAGAATAGGCGAACAAAATTAGTTACATCCATATAGTACATACACTTCTGGAGCGTCAGAATTTTAACTTACTACTTGGTATAGGAGGAAGTGAGAGTTCAAAAATGGGTAAAGAGGGGAATTTGGCAAGAGAGAACAACTGAGTTAAAAAGATTTGACAATGAAAACTGATCAATAAGGTTCTTATTGTTGTTTACATCCTTCGTCCGTTTGTGCTTGAAGACCCAGGAACACAGCGGCTTCGATCGACTCCTCCCACAGGGCCCCTGTGGTTAAGTGTCGTGGTTTGGCTGGATGTGGGACGTCATGCGGGCCGGTTCCGCATTCGGGGCAGATATCCCTTATCTCCGGATCAGTGCGTGCCATGTAGTAGTTTGGGAGCTCCAGAAGTATGTGCACCAACCTGAACATAGTATGTGTACCAGGTTAGGGTTCAGGTTGTGCGTCTTCTTGATGCACATACTACGGAGCGCCGTGGTTTGTTTGACGACTCCACCCAGATTGTATCTGAGAGAGCGTTCATAACTGTGTGTAAGATGGGTGAATAAGCATTATAAACTAGGTAGCATTCGGAGACCACCGACTGATTGATCTTTTGTTCGCAGCGGCAAAAGTTAGGGGATTCCCCAAAACAAACTGTGATTTCGATTCCTTCGTTCTGACTCAATAGCGACAACGTGTGTCCCATCACTAATTAATTAATAATTCACTAATTATACGACAAAATTTATCCAAAATCAATAGGTTTCTGGTTCGAGATATGATGAATGCACATGCAAAATTTGGAGCAGATTCAACATCGCTTTTGTGAGATATCGCCCAACATACGAAAGTGTCTAACAGACAAAAAAACAAATATCAACATACTTAATGATCAAGATCGATAAGTAACAAACAGAAAAAAACCTTTCAATATCTTACTGATCGAGATCGATAAGTAAAAACAATTTATTCTTGATTCCAGGTTGCCTGACATGGACAGCTGACGAGGATCGACTGTTAGTCTGTCAAATGGTCATCAAACTTGCGGACATCGGTGGCCCAACTAAGATCAGAGACTTACATGTCACATGGACTAGAGCTATATGTCAAGAATTTTTCACTCAGGTGAGAAGTTATTTTTTGTGCGGCGGGGGGGAGGGGGAGGGAGTCTATTATAGTTTTACCATGACCGCAAATCTTTTAACATTTCACTGATATTGCTTTATCAGTTTTGTTTTATGTCCATGGGAAAATTTTTTATGACATCTGGTACAAATTAACATCAACATTTGTCTGGAATTTTGCCGATATTGTACCATCAGTTTTGTTTTATGTCTATGGCAACACTCTTGTATGACATCTGGCACAAACCTTCATATGACATCTGGCACAATTTATTCAGTATTCGTATGTAATTTACTGGTCAACACTATATTTAACAAGTTTTGCTCGGCGTTACAGTGGCCATAGGCCTATTAGTCATTTCACCTTCAATATATTTAAACAATTCTTTCTTATCGGACACGTAGTGGATAGTTTAGGTATTTTTTTGTTTGAAAAAATCGCATTTCTCTTTAACTACAGGACCAGTTTCTTTGAATTTTAGTGGTTTGTTGTTGTTGCTAGGAGGCAACGTTTGCGAACTTTGTGTTTAAACACATTATCTTATGAGTCGCGTAGTCTACCGGTACTGCAGTTAATAATTGAATGTTTGTGTTTACATATTCAAACAATTCTCTTTGTTCTATTTCCAGGGAGATGAAGAGCGGCAACTTAACTCCCCAGTCTCCCCGTTTATGGATCGTGAGCAACCTCAAGTGGCCCAACTTCAGCGAACGTTCATCAAGAATCTGATCGCACCTCTCGTTTGCAAAATGCATAAAGCAGGGATTTTAGCAGGATATGTGGAAGACGGCGATGGTTTGTTGATTACTGGTTCAAATTAATAAAAGTCTGTGCAGTATAATTTTGTTCCAGAAAATGTTTACTTGTAATTTAATTTTAAATGATGGTTTTAAACGTTTTTCAATAGGATAATTATTTACCTCTTCTAAGCGTTAAAAATACACTTGCTAGTCCACCTCCGATAACCATGCGCAGGCTCGCATATGCGAGAGGATCGCTCAACTTCTCGCTGCCCCCAAGGTTTTGGATTTCACATAATATGTTGTTGATTATGGCTTACTCCAATATCAATATAACTCATCTGGAACAAATAACTGGCTAACTAATCCCACACTCGACATGGACTGGTAACAGGACGAGTGGCCGCCATATCGGCTTTCCTATCCTCATTCTGTTTTTTATTTGAGTTTGAGTTTGCTGCCGCCAGGTAGTAGGTGGCTGTGAAATTTTTCGATTTTTTTTTTTTAGAAAAAGGGGAGGAAGATAATATATTAGAACCAACTGAAGAAAACACGATAATCAATTGTCGAAGTTTGGTTCGAGAACAACTGGCCGATAACTTGCGATATTGGCATTCTATATTAGAAGAAAAGTTGAAAGGTCAAGACGAGATGGATAAAGTATTTAAATGCTGTCACAATGTGACGCTAGAGCATGAGTAAGTAGGGGGGATCACCTTACATAATTTTTTTTTAATTTGGGGGGTTTGAACTTTTATTTGTGTGTGACAGAATATTTGAAAGCTTGTGTGTATGTGTAATGATTTATGTAATTATTTGCGGATGTGTGTGTGTTGCAGTTTATGTGAGTGTTTGAAGATATGTGTGTGTGTCATAGTTTATGTGATTATTTGAAGATATGTGTGTGTTACAGTTTGTGAGCATTCACAGTTTATGTGAGCATTTGAAAACGTGAGAATGCGTTATAATTTATTTGAGTATTTGAAGATATGTTTATGTGTCATAGTTTATGTGAGTATTTGGAGATATGTGTGTGTATGTATGTGTCATAGTTTATGTGAATATTCGGGGATGTGTGTGTCACAGTTTATGAGAGTATTTGAAAACGTGAGAATGTGTTATAATTTATGTGAGTATTTGAGGATATGTGTATGTGTCACAGTTTATGTGAGCATTTAGAGATATGTGTGCGTGTGTGTGTATGTGTCATAGTTTATGTGAATATTCGTGGATGTGTGTGTCACAGTTTATGAGAGTATTTGAAAACGTGAGAATGTGTTATAATTTATGTGAGTATTTGAGGATATGTGTATGTGTCACAGTTTATGTGAGTATTTAGAGATATGTGTGCGTGTGTGTGTATGTGTCACAGTGTATGTGAGTATTTGAAGATCTGTGAGTATGTGTAACAATAATTTATTTGAAGATGTGTGTGTCACAGTCACAGAGAATTTTTTATAGCTTCTATGTGAAGCAGTTGTGTGTGTATTTGAAGGCAACCTGTTTGTATAAATGTTCATCTCAGTATCTGGAGACATGTGTGTTTTAGTGACATGCGTTGTTCGTTAAGCACAAGTTCGTTAGAAAATTATAACGTCATAATCATAGATAATGAATTGGACTTGGGTATGCAATGCAAAGGGATTGAAATTACTTGCACCAGATTAAACTAAATAAAAAATTGTTTTGTGGGCCACAAACCATTCAAAATGCGCCTTTTTTTCGCGGGCCGCACAATTTTTTCTTGTGGGCCGCATTTGGCCCGCGGGCCACAGGCTGCTCACCTAAGACTTAGAATGTCATATTCACTCTTGCTACAGTGTAATTACGTCATACGCAGCATAGAAAAGAGGGAAAATAGTTATTCATGCAGAACACCTTTTGGCAGCACAATAATATAATTTCAACTGTATTTTCTTATTTAAACAGAAACTACGATGCCGTCGATACTGATTTTGCAAAAAACCTGATAGAAAGTCGACGGCAGAAGTTACTTCTTCATAACAACAACGCTTCAGTGGTTGCAAGAAATGCGCCGAAGTCGAGCAAAAAAGATTCAACGATAACAAAAGACAAACATAGAAACGAAATTCAAAATTTTCCTAAAATAAATTTTCCACCCCCCAAATCTCAAACGGAATTAAAATCCCCCCCAGCACTGTGCAATGTATCTGATAAAACTAAAACTAGGCCGAGGTTATTTAGAAAGATTCCTTGAGACCTAAAATCATATCTTTATTAAACGGGAAACGCAGGTTCGAAACTCGGTCAGTCTATGAGAAGCAGAATGTACCGATAAAAGCACACATACAGACATCGTGTCTGCCTGTGTTGGGAAAAAAAATTTTGGAATTTAGAAATATTGGAATTGCTATATCGTGCAGTGGAACCCAAGGATGGCCAAATTGAATTATCTTTCATTCTGAAATATTTAGCGCTGGACATTTTGAATGCCTGATGATTTCAGAATTGAATCGAATATTTTGGTACGAGTCTATACAAAGTAACTAAATTTTGAATGTATTTATCCAATTTGATCTGGATATTCTCTAGAAAAAAAAACCATCAAAAGTTTGGATGCCTCTGAATAGGGCGTACCAAGATGACGCACAACCTGAACATAGTATGTTTATCAGGTTAGGGTTCAGGTTGTGCGCCATCTTGGTGTACATACTTCTGGAACGCCAAAGTTTAAATGAATAAAAATTTGAATTATTATTTGTGTTGAGCATTTAAAACAAACAATCCTTTTAAATACCCAAATATCTCTATATTCAAATTCAATTTGATCATCCCCCATCTCTTGTCGCAAAGAAAGGTAATTTTATTGAAAGAAGTTTGAATTCAAATGGATGACCTCCTGAAGTATGCGCACCAAGATGGCGCACAACCTGAATTCGCTTTGTGTACCAGGTAAGGGTTCAGGTTATGCGACATCTTGGTGCGCATACTTCAGGAGTACCCAAATGGAAATATCTTTAATTAATCTTAAAAGTCAAGAATTTATATTGAATAACCTAATTTTTGGTGTTCTCTCGGACACCGATTAAGATTGTACGACTATCCTTCAATCCCCCTCATTACGTTTCAAATTTTACTGCCACATTAGAATCGGTAATTTTACAACTGTAATGTTTTACTATAATTATGATTGAAACCAATTTTTTGAGGAATTTATTCCCTACTCTTAACACATGGGGAATTCCCCTCCCCATAAACGGGAAATTCCCCGCTGTATCATTCACATACTCAGGGATTTAATATATATTACAGATAAGAAAACAAAGCTCAGAAGAGTGAAACTTTTAAATCAAAATTGCTTCGATTCAGACAGAATTTTCTCAGCAAGTTATTATCTTTGGGGGGGGGGGGGGTGATTTGACCGCTTGAAAAAGTAATTTTTAAATTTACCAGAGGGTTAAACAAGACAACGGTTAGTACCTTAAATAGAAAATTTTTCTCTTAACCAAAGATGTAATAACATTCTCTCCCTCTATTGTTTGCACCGGTATATTACCAGATTCGAAATGGTATGGTTGGTTAAACCAGGCAATGTTATTATTGACCAGTATGTTGTTCACTGTCAAAATTGGCATTAACACAACTGGTACTATTTGTAGTTGGCCTTGCCATAACTGATACCAGAATACCATAGGAAGTACCAGAACTAGGATATTATGATTGGTATGTAACATTCACTGCACTAGTTGGGTTTGCCATAACGATACCGGAATACTAAAACAATTACCAAACAACCATTCAGGAATACCATTACTGGTACCAGACTACCAGAAGTAAAATATTAAGATTGGTACCAGACTACCAGAAGTAAAATATTAAGATTGGTACCAGACTACCAGAAGTAAAATATTAAGATTGGTAATTCCATTCACTGCACCAGTTGTCTTAACCATAACTAGTACCAGAATACCATAACTTCTACTGTAATGCCATAATTAGTACCAGACAATTATAACTGGTATCGAAATACCATGTATACTACCTGAAACCCCTATCTGGTACCAGATAACCATCCAGCATGGTCTACATACCTTGTTGATTAAATTCTGTCTGAAATGTGTATTCTTCTTCTTTTTTGCTCGCGTTTTTTTCATACTCTTTCTAATATTCAAAGTTATTATTTTGTGTGTGTTCTCATGTACGCCTATTATGTTACTGTCCATTGTATTACTGCTCAGCCGTGCTCCGTGAATGGGGTAAAAATTTTATGACAGATGACAATTTTTTTCTAAGTTGAATAAATTTTTGCCCGGCTGTCTTGCAAAGTGATTTTTAACATATATCATCTATTCCTAATCTTCTGTCTTTATGGCAGCCCAAGATCTTTCTAAGGAGAGGATCATTCAAATGTCGATTAGGACCATATATACGCGATATTTTTCTATTGTGAAACTTTTTATGCCTGACCTGGACTGGTTCGTCTTGTATTTGAGTCGTCGACTTGCCCCTCCCCCCTCCCTCCCCCCTCAATGAAAATAAAATACTTTACACAGCGATAACCTCAAAACTCAATGTTACTGCGATCAGATCCGACCAAAATAATCAGTCTCTTCTACTTCGATATGATTTTCATCTCAGCCTGAGCTGGCAGCATCGGCATCGTGCCTTTAAGGTTGCAATTATTCTGTCCAGTCATGCTTGAATGATTTTTGTAGAAATTTGAATGATACAAAAAGTAGACCAGACCCGGAACACCATATTACCTACTGTCATCAATGTCATAATCTTATGTTATTATATCACTATTTCTTTCTTTATGATGTCACACTGCATGTTATGACACGATACATTGTTACCCATTAATGATGTCACAAGAAGTGCTATGACCTCACAATTTTATAAATATGACATCTAATGCTTTTCTCATACTCAAGATTTTTCTTTTTTGCACTTTCAGAGTTGCTGTATTGTGTGGTATATTCAGGGGAAATACCCCTCCCTACACCTCACATCATTTTGTGCCCCCCTAAAAATTTGTTTCTCATAATGTTATCAGACTCTGGAAACAGTTGCTCATTGCATATTCGATGAATGCTCAAACAGAACCTTCATTTAAAATAAAATATTAATTTCTTGCGCAACCTTCAAATCCGTTTTCTTGTTTTTTTAGACGAAAATTTCGGCTTTGAAGTTTAGGTTGTTTTTCCTGGATATCCCGCACTTTGGGTTAATAGGCTGTATTTCTGTGATGTCCAATCAGGTTTCATCAGGTTTTTTGAGTTTGTGACCATATTTCCAGTGTTTGGAATTTTGAAGTAAGAGAATTTGTATTAATCAATGTTTCCCATATATTCAAATACCTTTAAGAACGGCGGGGGGGGGGGGGGGAAACCCCTGTCTATCTGCCTATGGGCATGATTGGACATTGTTAGAAACGATCACTAACGAATTGTTTTTCTTCAACTGAAGTTCTAGTCAACAATATGGAGTAAATACTGCTGGAAAAATAGTGAACTAACCTGGAGTTTGCATGTAAATGAAATTCCTGGTAATTTTACTTATTTTTTGCAACAGTGATGTATATGTTTCAAATAATAAACCAGACAACACAGTGTATGAGATTTTATATATATTTTATTTGAAGGGTTACGCAATTTCATTGTTTTAGCTGACTTATTACTTATCGATCTCGATTGGTAAGTATGTTGATAGGTGTTTGTCTGTTAGACACTTTCGTATGTTACGCGATATCTCACGAAAGCGAGGCTGCTCCAAATTTTGCATGTGCATTCATCTTATATCGGACCAGAAGCCTATTGATTTTGAATGAAATATGTCGTATAATTAACAAGGTATTAATTAATTAGTGATGGGACACGCGGTGTCACTATTGAGTCAGATTGAAGGAATCGAAATCGCAGATCGATAAGTCGGCGGTCTGCGATCGCTATCTAATTGTTTTGTTGTCATGGCGGTATTCCGGTATCCAGTTGAAGGACGCCAGTGTTCGATAACTTTGTCAACCTGGCATGTTGTTATTGATGCTAATGTCGTGTTTTTCAATCTCACGTGAGACCAAATAGAAAGTTATGGGTGTTCCTCCAAGCATGGCGGTAACAACGACTAGAGCTGGGCATTTTCGAATTTCTGACGATTTCAGAATCGAATCTTTTTTTTTCGAATCAAATCTCGAATACTTGGAAGTTGTATAATTGTACGCGACTTTTTTAGTGTAATTCATCCTTTCAGCAAATGAACTACTAAAAACATAGAATGCATCACTCAGACAGATTGCTGAGCGTTCACATACAATACGAAACACGTTTTTATCAATATCTCACTACAGAAAAAAGTCATATGTCAGAATTGCGTGGAGAAAATATGGCTTCAATAAAAAAATTGAGGAATTCACCTCGACCATTGGCGGATAGAAAAAAAAATGGCGGTGATTCGTAATTGATTCGAATAATTTACTATTTGATTCGAAATGCCCAGCCCTAACAATGACTAATCAACAATGTTACCGTCCATCTGTCTGTCGCTCATACACTCCTTTTGCCCAGTCAGATATTCAAGCATGGTTGTGAACCTTGCCTCGTTTTAGCCGGTTTTCGTGCGTCAATTATCAGTTGTGTTTCCAAAAGTTAGTCAGGGAAAAAAGTTCGGTCGGTAACCGAAGACTTATCGATCGAAAGTTAGGGAATACCCCCAAACAGAAACTGCGGTTTTGATTCATTCATTCATCCGAAGTAAATAGGTTTCTGGTCTGAGATATGATGAATGCACATGCAAAATTTGGAGCAGGTTAGATCTCGTTTTCGTGAGATATTGCGTGCATCAAACAGACAAATACCTATCAACATACTTACCGATCAAGATCGATAAGTAATTACCTAGTGACACACAAAAGTCACGAGTAAGAGTCGTATTATATCAAAATACAAAAAAATTGCCCCTCCGACAAAATAAATAAATTGGGTTTGCTACGCTCTTGAGAGAAAGTTTTCAAATTTGTCCGGAGGAGATGAAAACTGATAAGACAGTTCAATCGTATAGTGTGCCACGATCTCTTTCTCGGTTACCAGCCCATGTCGGGTATGGAAATAGTTGGCCAGTTATTTATTCAAGATGCATGGACCAGGATGGTGGAGGTAGCCACAACCGGCCGCGATTACGTGAACCCGCCTTCGTTGAGGAGAATTCCTAATTAATAGACTAGAAGAAGAAGAGAAGAAGCAAATCCATGCACCAACCAAATCTTAGGCGTCGTTTACCTATTGAGAATGCTGGAATCTGATGACGTGGTAATGCGTTTGAGCAAAAGTATATTATGCGACATTCTTTATGCAAAGGGCTTCCTCAGAAGTTTCTTATAGACACATTAGATAACACGTAGATACAACAGCACTGGTAATTTGGACTGGTACTTTACACTTTTGATAACAATTTTTTTTATATTTATATCTTCGATACATGCTGTTGTAATGTTATTGAATCTGCAACTGCTAGATATATTAGGTCACATAGACGTATTAGAGCAGTGGTTCTCAACCTTTCTACCCGGGCAGACCGGCTAAATTGATAAAAATGTACTCGCGAATCGGCAAAAATTGAAATGAGCGAAACAGAAAATAATAACTTATATTTGCGTAATGTCGGGCAATCCCTACGCTTTCAGAAAAAACGGCACATTTAAAAACATTTCACATGAGGAAAAACTATCAAATAATGTGCCGGCCAGAAATGGATGTCAAGGTGAAGCTCTGCAATATTATACTGTTCTTGACAGTTTTCTGGTTTAATTAAAGAAATATTCATAACCTTTTATTCGGATGATATGATAAAATTGATCAAGAAAAGCATGCAGAGCGGATAAAGCACGTATTCTGATTTTCAGGTTTCTCGCTTCGCGATGAATCGGGACCTAAAAAGCGAAAAGTATGATTACTCGGCGCCAAGCCGTCGCCGGGCCATCAATACCGCACTTATCAAACAGCAATATGACGGCGGAAGAGAAATTGCGTAATAAACCAACGTAACTTCGTCTTATTAATCAAGAAAAGCATGCAGAAAAGAAAAAGCACGCATGCTGATTTAGAGATTTGTGAATCTTGCGAGAATTGACGGAGCGCTTTCGCGATGAATCGCAACCGAAAAATCGAACAGTGTGATTACTCGGCGCCAAGACGTTGTCGGGCCATTAATAAACAGCAATATGACGGCGGAAGAGAAATTCTGTAATAAACCAACGTAACTTCGGCTTCGGTGAAGCGACTGAGACGGCAGAAAAACAACGTATATAGTTTGACTTTTCCACTTTCTTTATCATATACTGTTAGACTTTTAATGGGTGCCGATGCTCGATAACCAGTACTGCTTTCCGCGTCTCCCTTCACCCTGTAATGCAATTTCTCTATATATAATTTTTGGCGCTCCGGAAGTATTCGTACTAAGATGACGCACAACCTGAACCCCGACCGAGTACACATAGTATGTTCAGGTTGTGCACCATTTTGGTAACATACTTCGGGAGCACTTAATTTTTTGTAATTTGTATGTCGTGAATAATTTTCAGCTTGGAAAAAATCTTCTTTTTTTAAAAAAATAAAACATTGTAATAAACAATATTAATCAGAATTACTGATTACGGATTGTGTGTGTCACATCCTACTCACATTTTGTCGTAGCGCCATCTCGAGGCCACGCTTTTCTGGTCTCTAAAAGTTTTTAAACTGTGGCAGTTTTAACATTTATCCGCTGGAGTTTTATACATGCAGCTATTGCAAGGTATCAGATAACAAGTGATAAATTGACGGCTTCAGCACAAAAAAGCGAAACTTGAAAAATATTATCAGGAAATATGGGTATATTATATTTTTTTTAGATTTTAAACCACTCTAATTATTAATTGAAATACCACTGAATATCGCTTTAAACTTTGAATAGAAAATCAACTTGCAAATCATTCATTTCTTTGTACTTATTTTCATTTTTTAAACTGGAATCCTCGACTTGTGAAAATCCTTCTCCGGGTGCATTTGCAAATTCGTCGATTCATAAACTCGTTGCCACGTGGTTTGTGAACTTGTGACCTCTACGCCTGTAACAGCCCCGGGCGGGAAGCCAAGCAAGTTTTTTTTGCGTCTTAGGGAGTGAAAGGTTAGCGATATCATTTATGAATGGCGATTTCGCTAATTGCATAGATAATAAAATTATTTATGATGATATGTAATTCTACCTCACTGATTTGATGTGCCGTTTTTTGTGTAATTCCGAGTCAAAAAGAGGCTGGAACAAGCGAGCATTTAAGTTAAGTATAAGTATTTAGTAATTCTGTAATTGCGCAAATGATCGACGCTTACCGGTAGGCTACCGCTATTGCTATGAGCAAATTTCAGTCTATGATACGGCAAGTAGGCTAGGTTTTATAGCATTTATAAAGTGAAATACGGTACAGACTTTCTTATGGCTGCCGCCGCTCTATAACCAAATTTGGTTTCTTGCAGCTCACCTCACCTGGAAATGCTTTTTAATTAGCCTACTTCAGTACTTGTTGCAATTTGTATATCAAGTGTGCCTTTAGTATTAAGGGTTTTATCTTGTAATAATATTATCCGTTGATCAAAGCTTACATTCGATGCCAAAGATTTTGGTTTATTGCAATATCACTTAGGAATTAGGAAAAATAAACATTACTATTGCTGTATCAGTCAGTCAGTGTAATTTTCAAAAAGATTGAAAATTAAATTCAAATTTCCATCCTTTTAAGACATTCAAATTAGGTCATACAGATATATCGTGTAGGATTGAATTAGACATTATTACTGTATTAGTTTGAATGCTTTAAAAGTAAAACGACCAGAAAGTTCAATACATTTAATACATCAATACATAGGTTTTAACTATTATGCAGATACTGTTACATTTTTGAGACACCGACGAGCCTACATACATACATTTGTGTAACTTTTTTTTGTTTATTTCTGGCCCTAGCTTCGTTCAACTAGGTGTTTGTTTTTTTTTAATTTTTTTTTGTGTGTGGGCTGGTGAGCAGGCACAGGATATTTCTCGAAATTTTTTCAAAAGGTTTGCTCGCTCTTCAGAATTCTCCATTGTAATTTGTGTGTATTATGTCAGTGTGGAATTTTCAAAATAAACATTACCGTATGTAATTACTAGATACAGAGATACCCCACCTGCCCAAACTCAAGAATCCTCTTCAGTTAATCAGTAATTTATTTTCTCATCATCATGGCACGGCGGTGTGGCTCAACGGGCTAAGCGTTAGGAATACGCTCGCCACCGCACCTCTAATTACTCTGCGTGGGTTCGCAGGTTCGAATCCCATGCAGGGATGGTTATGTGCGAGAGGATTGCTGGACTCCTCGCCGTCGTTGGGTGGTTCACGTAACCGCTGGTCGGTTACGGCTTCCTCCACTACCAAGTCCATGCTTCCGAAAGCAAACAATATACCTAATCCCATACCCGACTTGGAATGGTAACCGGACGAAAGGCCGTGGTTCGCCATATGGATAAGCCGTCTTATCGGCTTTCCTCTCCCCCGGGATAAATATGTAAATCCTAATCCTATCCTCTTCAGTTAATCAGTAATTTATTTTCTCATCATCCCAGATTACTCCATCCAGGGTGGCTTACCCACTTTGCGGTCCCATTTGCTGCCATCAACTTCATCGATCCAATTGATGCCGAAAAAATTAACGAACCGCAACGATATTTCTCACACATTATCGTCCACTTGTCCCTCATATCTCTGCGAAATTACACTAAAATGCGGCTACAAACAAAAGGTTACGACCCAAAAATCTGACCAGCGAAAAAAAACGGACAATTTTTTTTGTTGCCAACTACCCATTGTCCCATTAAAAAAAACTTGAAAATCCATACAGATATAAGAAATGAAAAGATGAAACTTGGCAGGTGGGTAGAGTTGTGTTTCTTTTAACCATCTTTAAATTTTCACGTTTCTAAATTTAAAGTATTTCCAATACGTCGATAATATCTTTGTCCACCAATTTGCGACCACCATGTTTTTGTCTGTTTGAATGCTGTGATGCGGTGCTTTGTATATAATTTGACGAGTTTTGTTCGAAATGATCGTGTTCTTAAAATATATGACGGTCAGAAATGCAATTAGAATCACAATTTTTTTACGCATGGCTTCGTATGCCCTGGTCTCGACGCAGCAGAAACGAGGTCCAAGGCTTGGCATCCGTGGTCACACACTGGTCTCTCGGTCGCAAATACGTCTCCCGAGTGTCATATTTTGGTGGTTTGTATAGCTTTAACCCCTGGTCGTAGAAAGTTAATTCGAAGTTTAGCGTGTAGAATAAATGCCAACGCACCTACGGTGAAAAAATTTACGGGTTAGATATATTGGTTTTTGCTTTATAGCGGTTTGAATGAAATCGTCCGCAGACTGGCTACACCACCCTATGGTTTTAATATAAGCATAACAGAAGAATGAATATCTTTCAAAAAAATAAATTGCTGAATTGTGTGCGAGTATGTCTGTACGTATGAATAACTGTCTAGTCTAGTGTTTACCGAAATATTTTCAATTTGTTTCCATAACCACATGCGGTCTGCCTGTAATTACCATAGGAAGAATGTCTTGTACGACCGTTGTATGTTGATCCCTTTAGTAGACCGTTGTCTGCGATACAACAATAACTTTACGTTAATTTTTTTTCTCTCTTTACATCTCATGAATGTTCTGTTTCATACTGCAGCCGGACTTGATAATCTGTGACCGTCAACATTGATTTTTCATCACAATGTTCCTTTACACATCTGTGATCCAGTTGCTTGAGTTTCCTGATTTATTGCAGTAATCCCATATTATTCTTAATACAACCAAATACTCCAAATAATATGAGAATCCGGTCTTGGTACAACATACCTTTAGGCTTCACCGCAGCCTCTTTTTTGGAGTCAGCAAACGAGGAAAGTAAACATTAATTACTTTTAAAGAGCAGAGCAAACAGCGACAAACTCCCTAATGGTGAACGTGCACATTCCGCGCTAATCAATAACTTGGTATTTAGTTTAAAGAGAAAATAAACCTGCCATTATTGCAGTACGTACTGTAAAGAGTATGTGGATATATCAGGGCGAAAGGATGTCAGTAGGGCACACTTGCCAAATTCCAAGAATGTCTTGTCATTTGGTTCAATAAAAAAAACATCCATGTGTCCCACAAACGAGGGGTGACTGGTACAACGGCAGATGCGTCATATTGCACCATGTTTGTCTCGATAATAATCTAAATTAGTCGTGGTCGTCACGTTACCAAAAGATCAGTTAAGCAACACTACTGCTCTTCTAAGTTGATTAGTATCGGATTTAGGTACATATTTATCCCGGGCGAGAGGAAAGCCGATAAGACAGCTTAATCATGTTATGGCGAAGTCCAATTCTGGGACGATGGCGACAGAATCATATCCATATTATCAGTCATCAATACTTCCTACTAGTGGTCAGAATCATATTTAAATGGTTCCCGTACATTTGAACCCACGTATATTTGAACCCACGACAATTGCACCTGCATACTATTGCACCTATGGAATTTTTTTTTGTTTTGCGAATATTTGAACCCATACTAACCCTAACCCATGGGTTTTAGCACCCGCATATAGATTGAACCCACGGATATACACATGGGTTCAAATGTACGTGGTTTCAAATGTACGGTCACCTATTTAAATTACCTTCAATTTCGCATATTGAAATATTTTCATTTATTTCTCAGCGAATCATAGTTTTATTTTTATTTATTTTAATCAAATCGTCCAATCATGGCTCCTTCTGCTAAAGTCACTGAAGAGAAACGTACGGGCATCAGAGCAATATTACTCGGCCCACCAGGAGCTGGGAAAGGAACACAGGTATTCTTTTGTTTGCTTTTTTATCGGTTTTGGAGATTTTTCGAACCTTTCCAAGTTATATATATGCAATAACTGGGTTATGAACTTGAAACAGATGTAGGGTTGGACAAGAGGAACGTTTCCAAGTTATTCCTAACCCCCAACAAAATACTTTTATTCAGCAGTATTAATATATCAGGGGGGGGGAGATTATCTAAGAAAGGGCTGTTACTTTTGCTGCTTAGCAGTTGAGGTTCTGGCTAACAAACTTGCTCTGGCTTTATATAAAATTCGACTCAATTCCATATTCTGCTATTCAAACCCTATCTAGGACAGTATGGCGCAATTTCCCTATTCCATGTTTCCCCCACATTAATAAAAGACATCAATTACAACAGTGAGTACAACTCCTACTTTACAAGACAGTCTGGACCTCCATACCAGCAATAATGGGCAAACCGACACAGCGCAACAAACTAAAAAAAAGGCGGCATCTAAAAACGCCACCATTGGAAACAAAAATTTACTGAGAATTTTTGGCAATTTTGGTCACATGGGTGAAGCCAGAGGATTGATAGACACCCAGGCTCTCAGAAAATTTAATTTTGATAGCAATGGCATATCGTATGTCTTTTTAAGTAGAATTCCCAACAAACTCAATGTCTTGAGGTTTTTCTGACTCCTGGAAATTGAAAATATTCGAATGAAAGCATGCTAAATTTTATCTCCTTATTCCACAAGCCTGTTTCAACACCCCAACTCCATTATGGCAAATCTTTAATTATTGCAGGCACCAAAGCTTGCTGAAAAATATTGTGCGTGCCATCTTGCTACCGGAGACATGCTAAGAGCGATGGTCTCATCGGGTTCAGATTTGGGAAAGAAAGTTAAAAAGGTGAGAACGCCATGATTTCATTGACGGCAAACAAATGCAGCTTTCTCATGAACGCAAATTTGAAGTAATTTTCGCTAAAATAAATATTGTTTTTCTGTATCAATCATTTAATATTTTTGTCATAAAAGCACTACATGCCGTTTAGTATTTGAACATATTTCTGGGTTGTGACTTGTGAAATTTCATAAAATTGGTTTTTAAAAATTTTGGGTTTCTATCGATTTTCTTCTGGGATAAATATGAAAAACCTATTTTCTCTCTCAGGTGATGGATGAAGGCAAACTCGTATCTGATGAATTAGTCGTAGAAATGATCAACCAAAACCTTGATAAAAAAGAATGTAGAAAAGGTTTTTTATTGGACGGTTTCCCTCGGACAGTCGTACAAGCTGAAAAGGTAATTTTTAGACTCTGAAGTGCATGGATGACATATTGAGCACCCATGATTGTAATATAACATATGCCTTTTAAAAAACTTTGTGAGAGTTATTCTTTGTGAAAATAAATAGCAAACTAACAGCCCACCCTGTATATAGGGCAATGGGTAATGCCGTAGTGTGTGTACCAGGTTAGGCCATACTTTTATTCCGATTTTCCTTATTTTAGTTCGATTGCAAATTCGGGGACTGTCTGTGTTAGCCAAGTGAATATACTTCCTGCCTATAGGTTTCAGTCCCTTCACACAACTTGATGTAAAGTAGGTGAACAAAATTAGTTACCTCCATATTAGTACACACACTTCTGGAGTTCAAAGTCATCAAATAACTATTTGGATCTTTTGTGTGTTTTAGTGTGAATCACCATACTTTTGTAACCATTACAGTTGCCATGAAATGTGTGTAAAGGCATAAAAAATTGCTTTTTTTTTTCAGCTAGATGTTCTACTTGACAAACGGAATCAAGCGTTAGATTCGGTCGTAGAATTCGGAATTGATGATTCATTACTAGTTCGAAGGATTTGTGGAAGGTCAGCACTTTTTTTTCAAATACTATAAAATTGTAAAATCTCTTTCCTCACTGTTTTCCTGACATTGTTGACTTGTTTTGTGTGAATTCTTACACTGGAGTCCCAATTTGGCGCGGCGATGTGGCTCAACGGGCTAAGCGTTAGGAATACGCTCGTCACCGCACCTCTAATCACTCTGCGTGGGTTCGCAGGTTCGAATCCCATGCAGGGATGGTTATGTGCGAGAGGATTGCTTGACTCCTCGCCGTCGTTGGGTGGTTCACGTAACCGCTGGTCGGTTACGGCTTCCTCCACCACCAAGTCCATGCTTCCGAAAACAAACAATACAGTAAAACTAATCCCATACCCGACTTGGAATGGTAACCGGACAAGAGGCCGTGGTTCGCCATATGGATAAGCCGTCTTATCGACTTTCCTCTCCCCCGGGATAAATATTCCTATCCTAATTTCAAATTTTTCAGAGCTTGTGTCGGAAATCAAAATTCGAGAAACTTGGAAAATCTTCCTAGTTGTTTTTCTGGCATTTTTTCACTTTTGTGTTGGTCTTTACGCTGTTCAAACTCTCCAGAGTCTTGAGTCAAGCTTCTAAATTTGAGGGGTGAAAAAGTTGAAATTCCATACTTCTAATGGAGAACTCATCAAGTGTACCAAGCCTTCTTAGCAGTTCATTAAAGAAATATTGTTTGTAACAGGGCGTGGCCAGAAATGTTTAAAGCTAAGGAATTCTGAAATTTATAATTGCCAAGTTAGACGTATTAGCTAGCTGTTCTGTCTCAGATCTGTTTTAGGAGCTACTTTGCTCAGAGATCATTTTTCTTGACTTATAGTGTGAGTGCATCGCCATAATTTTGTATGGTTTTAGTGGCCCACCACATTACAGTGTTAGTTGCAACTTATATCATTTACTCCTGAAATTATCACTCATGTTGCTGCTTTGAGTGATTTGTCATAAAAAGGCCTGTTTATGATCAAGCCATACTTGAACAGGTAACTCCCAATATAGCTGATGCCTAATGCTTAAATTATGGCTTAAAAAGCCAAATTATTGTACTTGCAAATTTTTTTCTTCAATTATTTTATTTACTTGGTACACATCATAAGGTAGTCAATTCTCCTTATGTTATATTATGTCTGGTCATTGGGTAATGCACATAAGGTTATTTCTTTCTTGTGCTTCCATTTTTATAACCAGTGGCGTACCAAGAATTGGCTGGAGGCCTGAAAGAGTGGGTTTACAAGTCTTAGTGTATAAAAAGCGTTTCAAGCTACAAAAAATTACTATATAAGATACAGAAATATGCTTTTTTTTTACATTTCAAAAGGCTTCCAACCTCAAGCCATTGGCTACGCCCCTATATGCAGTGGTTGGATTCAATCGGTTCTATAGAACTGTCACGCGAAATTTTATGAGATCAGCGAACCGGTTAGCATTACTGGTTACTGTGAATATTCTGTTTGTAGCAGAACCAGCTAAAAAATATGACTTTTGTGAAGTACTGGCTGACAAAAAAATTGAATTCCACCACTGCTTATATGTATGTGCAATCGTCTCATAATGATAAGCAATAAACACATGTTGACAATTATTAATATTGAAGATGTGCACTCCTCTTGATAAATATTAGAGAAAGAAAAAGCGATAAATAAAATAGGTATAACATGGTTGCTTATACAGACAGTTGTACAAGAGAATTGTTCTGATTTTCAATTTTTTTTATTTCATGGGACAATAGCCTCACCCAGTGTTTTCCAACCTATGGGTTGTGACCCAATGTTGGGTCGCCTGTTTTTTTTCAACAATTGCACATTATGGGCAGTATCACAGTGTAAAATTTGGCAGCATCTGTTTTGCTCAAGTAAAACTGCGCCACGATTTTAAATCTCACTGATTGCAAATAAGCGCAGGTTTCCCACTTTGAATTAATTTCTGGTAAAATAAATGCTATTTAAAAATAATGATTATTTTGTATTATTAATTTAATTTTTTGACCATAAGCGTATTGCATGGCGTTTATGGTATTTGAGCATATCATTGGGTCGCGAGGATTTACGAAATTGATAATTTTTGAGAAATTCGGGTCGCTTGAAAAAAAGGTTGAGAATTATTGGCCTAACCTAGCTTAGTGTCACTCAAGATTAACAGAATTAAAGAGAAAATGAATTAGTAGTTGATAATAGCATGATAGTCTGTATTCAGTTTTTGCTATTGCTTCATATTGAGACACATACTTCAATATCATAAACTAATTTTTGAATTGGCATCATTGAAAATTTAGGTCTTTTTTGTTGGGAATATAGAATTTCTTGCTTCGAAGGCCATAATGGGTGTCCCTAATCGCGCACTCAATAGCCAACATTCTTTCTAAAATGGGCGTTAAGAAAGCGCGGTAAAATCCATTGTTGCGTAACAGGGTTAAACAGCGCTTATCTCGCTCTAGATCCGGGAATAAGTCATGCAGAGCGAAACGTCACAAACGATCTTTGTTATAAAAGAATGGAAGAGAGTTACGCTCCATTTAACCTGCGTTATGTAGCTCTCCAAAGCGCGCGCAACATTTTATTTGTTTATTCTTAACACATGCGCTGCGCGAGCGCACACTCAAACCCTAGGGCGTACTATAACTCTACTTCTATATGCGCTGTATAATAAAACAGAGAATTCCACGGCCCGCTACGTGGCTGCTACATACGAGCTATGGGCGTCGCCGTAAATGGCCGTTCTTTTCGCAAAGTACTGGAACTGGTGACAGACCGCATTTGGGTTCCGTAGCTGCTGTGAAAGTTGAATGAAAATGGCGCGGATATATCCAAAAGGTAAGGATTATTATACTAAATTTATGCGGCTGTTCTTGATTTCCCTTTATATCATACGTTATATAGTATTCTAGCGTTTATGGTGGTATTCTGGGACTAACGCATTCCCTTGCGTACTGATATATGTATTGTGTAATACCATAACTATCGTAAATTCGTTAAAAATTGTTGGTAATGGAGTAAAATCGCTTTAGGATTTGATTATTGTTCGATTTGCTTGTAAATTACTAATTAGGTAACCTTTCGTATATATAGACAAGATTGTAATATTGTGTATTAAACTGTGAGTCCTTTCTCCTTGTTTTTTTCCTACTTAATATCCGAATGTGTCAGTTGCCACAAAGATGCTTGAATGAGGTTGTATTATAACGAAAAATAAGAATTAATCTTAATCTGTTTCCACGAAATAGCAAGTGTATTTGTAAGCTTTCGTTACATTATAGTCTTAACTTCTTCAGACAAAACAAGATATGACTTAACAAGTTTGAATATGACATGAAAGAGTGAATCTAATGTACCTTTCATCGCGCTAGCGATCGCCTATAACTCTTCTATCGGTACTCTTTATTGTGTGTTCTGGTTAATACGTCGAGGTCTTGAGTTCGGCAAATAATAATTTTATAATAGCTATAGTACCTCCTTATCAATGACGGCCTGCTTAGAGACTTAGCCAGAGCTAAGGCTTCATGTTGTCCACCTTATATCTCTCTATTGCCACTCTTGGAATTGCACCGCATTTTATTACAAGTTGAATTGTGTATGCATATATGAGCATGATTTTTTCGATGCTGCAGTGCTAAGTGTAAAACAACTCGCGGTATAGCGCAATCGATTATAATTCTTCTGTCAGTAAATCTCCAAAATTTAGATATTGACTGGCTTATCTATTTTCACAAGAAACTTTAGATTGTTGCATATCAGTGACTGTCTGCGGCTCGAATGACTGAGTGAATTTATTTCTTGGATTCATAATTTTACACGAAGCGTTGGTTGCTGTCGAGGCTCGTAGGTCACCGTCTTTTATCTCGATCGCTTGTAATTTCTCTATCAGTAATCTCCTGCGGTTTACGGTCTTGTTTAAAGCAAATTAGAAGGCAGCGGAGCATTGTAAGTACAGGGAAATATCGCGTTTAATAGTCGTAGATAAAAAGTTTAGAAGGCCGTGCGCAAATGATATTATAACGTCACACTCCCACTTTTCCTGTGCTTTTTTGCAGTCTCGATTTTTCGTTAAAATGCTAATGTTTCTCAAAGTTCACTCCATAATTTTTGGGAAAACGCGATTTTAGCGCAAAACGGATAATCCGAGAGAAACCGTAATTTTGCAATTATCCAAATTCATGAAATTGCTTTTTTTGCCGAGCGCAAAAATTTGCTCCGCGAGAGGAATCAAGGCGCTCCGCGAGCTATTCGGTTACTTATTAAAACGCTGAATATTTATCAAATACAAAGCAACAAATATATCCGAGTCATTTAAATAAAGCAATTGTAATTTACTCGCGTACACCAATCGGTAAATAACAATTTTTTATTTTCATAATTTTCCGGCTCCGTAAATAATTCTTCACGGGATCCATAATGACTCTCAACCTATCAGTGGCGCTTGCATAAATCCTTGTTAGGGACAAAAGCGTACGAGTCTCGCAGAAAATGGAAAAAAAAGTTTTTTGCGCCATCGCTTCGACGTCGGTGGCTTGAATACTGTGCAATTTTGTTATATTTTCAGCTTTCTAATAGCTATCGTCTCTGAATAATGATAAATTATATGAAGTCTCGACTTTACGGCTCTCACGGTACTCCGCCATTCCGTTTGTCTTTGAGGGCTATTAATCGTGACGTATATGATTGATGATGCAATGGTTCACGTAACTGGTGATTGTTACAGCCTCCTTTATTATCTAAGTCAAGTCGTAAAACACGTTTTCTTTTCGCACCTCCCCCTCCCCCACATTTTAAATTTGCTGTAATAATATTGTCCTTGTTTGTAAATAAAATTGCATTATTTTCAATGGCCACTACATCCGCCATCTTGATAACTAGTGTACTCGTCTGGTTTTCATATTCGCGCGTCAGTCGATAAGTCACAATTCGTAATCTTCATAAATTCGGCCCAAGTATTGGTTAATTTAGAAATTCTAAAAGTTGACAGACGATTCGGGTTCCATTCGAAAAAGTTCGACTCTGCAAACAAAATATATACGAATCTGATCTGGGCTCTGGAAATTTTTTCGTCATACTGGTATTTGTGACATAAAAATGTCGATTATGACGCATACAAGCGGTCTTTCGGCGGCACAAACGGAAGTTCTTGACATATATTTGTGTCGTCATAATCAATTCACTTAAGAGCGGGAAAATCTTGTGACGCGTGTGTGTGCGGGGCTTGCGCAAGGTGTGTTTGATCAGAACACGTTTTACTTCGCTGAGAAACATGGCGACGGTTCATGTGTTGGGATTTTTTAGTGAAATGGAAATGGACGTCTCGATTTTTAAGCAGAAATGGCATTATATTTTCATTTTTATTAAGTTCTAAAATTTGAGACAGAAATTTGATATATTGTTCTATTCTGATACTGGTCCGCCATTAATTTCTTTTCTTAATGAGCATAGCAACATTTTATGTGTCGGGATTATTTAGCGAAATTAAGGTGGCCCACAGAGACGTTTTTTAGTTTAAATGGTGTTGTAGTTGTATCTTTAAATTAAGTGCAGTTTTGGGAATGTCGAGTTAAAATTCTCTAAAATCCTGTTATTGTCCTATCACTGTGGACGGCAAAGTTTTTTAGGTTTCTTGGCCTTTGCACATCAGATAATCAACAAGCTAATGCAAAGATTTTCGTCGCATCTCTACGGAGTAGAGAGCTGTAGTCGGAGTCTTTGTCAAACCGGAACCGGTTCGTTAAATATCACATAAATTGGATAAAACTTTCATCATACGACGCCACGGGCCTGTTTAAACGTTGTCGTCTGCATTTAAGTTGCGGTGTAATAGTATTTTGTCGCGTCATAATAAGCCGGATTATGACCACATTGTTATAGAACAGTCTTATTATGATTCATAATAATGTAATGCCGTCATCTGATGATTTTGTCGTCTTCAGTATATTTATGCGCATGCTATCGTTTTTCTTGTCATATAGTTGGAACATGCTTTTTTGGAATCGTTTAAACGAAAAGTTACAGAAATACTTTCGTGTTGATGTGCAGCAAGACTCGTGAATCAAATAGAATAATTTGAAAGTGATTCTGATAATACCTCGTTCGGAATTATTTTTTTATCGTTATATAATTTTTGCGGACTATCAGTGAACGCAGATTTCTATGGATTAAATTTTATTTCAAAATTTTAAATTATTTTGAATTATTTTATTCTAGGATTCTAACCTTGCGAATAATTTTGATTTTCGATTAAAATGGAAACCCTGTTAATCAGGAATGCAGCGGGAATTTTCAATAAGTCGGGGAAAAATTCAAAATCGGAATCGAAAATTCCTGTGCTTCTGAAAAGTCGCCTTTACTATGGCACCCGACCTTTACAGCTGATAACGTGTGGTCGATACGATAATTTAAAATGTTGTGCTATATATTATTTTACTGTTCTTCGGCGTAACTTTCGTTAGCTTTGTTCGCTAATATCGTATTATTTGTTGACATTCAAACATCTCATAAATGTGATTTAAAAATAATTGAAATTGCACGTATTATATCGTCTCATTATTTCAAGACTTCATATCGGCTTTCCTCTCATCCGAGATAACTGTGGAAAAAAAAATTAAAAAAATTGCCTGCAATAATATCCGTTTCATTATTTAAACCGCCGTAAACTATTTTTTCTTCCTGAGGTAAATGTGGAAAGGTATTATATCGTCCTATTATCTAAGCCGCTCTATCGGCCCTTCTCCGAGTGTCTGTCTAATTTTAATGCCACTGTATCGGCTTTCCTCTCACTCTGTGTTTCGAATTATCGCGCAGTCGTACTCTTAAATCTTATCATATTCTCGGTCGGCATTCGAGTGATATCATTATCTAACCGGATATGGCTATCATTGTTAACAGACCGCCCTCCCTAGAGATTTTAAGAATTAAATTTTTTGTTAATAAATATGTACAATCTAGCATGGAACGGAGATAAATTGTAGCATTATGTGCGATTTTAATTTGGATTATAATTGGTCATACTAAATCGTGCAGGAGTTTATACACGTTTCAAACACGATCATTTAAAAAAAATTCCTTCCCGACCGCGCCGTGGGGATGCGCTGTTAATTTGATGCGATTAACCCTTTACATACACGCGGCATTATAAAGCATGCTTGATACAGATTCATTCTCTTTACTTTGCTACTATTTGTTAAAATGCTATACAAAACCATTTTAACCCTTTCAGCGCTTTTAAACTTCGCTATTTCAAAGCAACTTTAAACCATTTGTCCGTGAAAGGGTTAAGGTATTTTCGTCTGCTAAATGTCCCTCGCGGCAATGGTAAGGCGCGGTTTTTTAACCCGTTGTAAAGCGCGGGAATGTTACATTATTATGTTACAATGGTCGAACAGGCGCTGTATTGTCTTGTGATTGTTGCGTGTCCGGCTTTATGACAGAATAGTAATATTTTTATTACGCAATAGAAGCTTTTCGTTTATGGCTCGTGTAAGCTGTAAATAAGGTTTTTATATTTTTCTATTTTTATCATCGCTCGCCTGTGCTTGAACCTTTTTTTTTGTTAAATCAGCGACTTTTGACATACGATAAAACGTTTTTATAATATATAGTGTTCATAGAGTTACAATTTTGAAATTTTGTTATGGAGTCAGTTCCTAATATATCTTACCAGTTTTTATTTTAATCGGGGTTTATAAGTTATTTTTACTTCATTTAATGCACCTGTAAGGAATAACAAACTATATATTGTATTGATGAATTCCCCTAATAATTTAAAAAAGTTTTCGGACTTACTGAACAATCCTCATTTCTTTTAACATGTAATGTTAGGCTTTTTAATTTTTTTCGTTGGAACCGTTGCTGATTGTTTATTACTAGGTCAAAATCTGCGCTCCCGAAGTATGTGCACCAAGTGCGCCATCTTGGCGAACATACTTCGGGAGCACCAATTTTGACCTAGTAATAAACAATCAGCAAATCCAAACTTACCAATGAAGTATTTTAAAAATGTAATTGCTGAATGTTTATCGAGCTCATTTCACACTCAAAATATAGCTACCGCAGTAAGGCTGTAAAAAAACAGCACCATGCATATCAGTTGTATAATACAGAGAAATACCCTTTTTTTAATTACAAAAAGGGGGGGAGTTCTGAACTGACACGTACCTCCCCTGCGTGCGCCTCTGCCTGTTTGTCTTGAACCTTGTTTATAGAGGTTTTCCAGCATCTGCTTTGTTTCGAGTTAATTGTGAAGGAAAGTGCCACCACTGCACAGTGCTACAGGAAAGTATGAACAAACAGGTACTTTCATCTAGTACTGTGAAAATGGTGGCTGCTTGCAATCAACAGGTCGTGAGAAATCTTGCGAAGTTGATAGAACAAAAATCACTTGAGTGAAGAATATTTGAATTTTTTCATTTTTTTGCGGAGGGGGGGTTAACAATGAAAAAATTTGGGCCTCATTGTCACAGTGGTTGTATACTGCCTGTTCGATATCAATCAAGGCAGTAACAGCCCTGTGCTAACATGGTTTCAGACTGTCATCTGTGGGGGGGGGGCTCGAAAAAATATGGGAACTACAGAGATACATTTCAAGTCATCATTGTTAGGGAAACAGCTAAATAGAATAAATTTTGTGCGTCTATCATTCCGGATGCAAGACTATATACTTATCTTTCTTCTATGCCTTTGTTCTGGTGTGTATGCAGTTATACTCTAAGACAGTGACTTCCTAACCTTTCCAGTTTCGCGACCCACTTATATTACCATTTTTTCTGTGCGACCCACAATGTGATGGTAATATATGAGAAAGGAAACAATGTATTCCCATGCAATTTACTATTAATGCGAAGTTCGATTTTGCATATTGGATATTATCAGATTAAGGGTAATAATGACATATAATTCTAGTTGTTACGAAATGATAATGCCATAATTTTCCGATCTTAACGAAAACGGCATGTAACATTTGGGAGATATTTCAAGACCTATCTTGGATAGCCGGTGGGTTGAGACACACTGCTCTAACATGACTATTCTGTGCGCAGTGAGGGTCTTGAACCCCATATTTCACATGTTTTCTTATCGCCTTTTTCAACTTCACTCAAATTTCCTTTCCTCTCGTGTTTTCCAGGTTAATCCATAAACCCAGTGGAAGATCATACCACACTGAATTCAATCCTCCTAAGAAACACATGACAGATGATGTGAGTTTATTTTGTTTAATAATGTTATTTAACCAGTGGGGGGGGGGGGAGGTGGTGAAATAGAGAATTAATAGAGTAAAAAAAGAAAGATTATAGTTTGTCAAAATTGGAGTCTCCATTTACCATTGACTGCTATTTTGAATTAACATTTGTTTGGTACGTTGTATGGAAATATTCTAGTCCTTCAACATATGTGCATGCAGTAGCTCTGTCGATTAGACTTAACCATGTTGGCACCGCAGTCTAGAATGTCTGGTCCAATTACCATTACTGACGTATGACCCAGGATGTAATAAAATTATTCGGTACTCTCGAAGTATGTGCACCGAGATGGCGCACAAACTTAACATGGCACACATACTATGTTCAGGTTGTGCGCCGTCTTGGTTCACATACTTCAGGAGCACCACAAATTTATTCAGTATTTCCCTTCTACAAAGCTTTTGATCAGCATGAATGTGTGACAAATTTCATAAAAATAATTTTTCAATCCAATTTACATTAACTTGGATTAGTCCAACCAGTATTAATTGCTCAATATGTCAAATTTGAAAACTTTTTCTGAACACAAAAAAAATAGTCTTCTCAAACTTTGTTTAATTTGTTTCGGATATCTGTGGTGCTTTTATTACCTAGTTTTGCAAAAATTTTCAATGTCAAAATGACGGAATCAAAACTAGAAAAATCGAACTAAAATATTCTGTCTGTTCACAGGTGACTGGAGAACCACTAATACGTCGCTCAGACGACAATGAAAAGGCATTAACGACTCGACTTGATGCGTATCACAAAATGACCCGCCCTCTCGTCGATTATTATTCAAAACGTAACTTGCATTCACTCGTAGACGCCTCACAGTCTCCAGATATCGTATTCAAGAGTATTTCAGCAATTTTCAATAAATGCAGTAAGTTGGATTGAAATTTTCATTATTTTTAAGTGGGGGGGGGGGGGGAGGACCACGTTTTCCAGTTGCGAGGAATTGTGTCATTCTTGGGGGGGGGATTTTGTATTGTATGAGGCGGCTCAATAATATGGTGAACCACGGTTACCAGTCCATGGTTTGCAATAGTATTAAGCCATCTTATCTTATCTGCTTCCCTCTCTCAGAGATAAACACATGAACCCTTTGGGATCCAGTTAGCAGTCCATGATGGGTATGATATTAGTTGACAATTGTTTCAAATGCGTAGGTTTGAATCCCATGCAGGGATAATGATGTGCGAAACGATTGCTGGACTCTTCGACGTGATAAAGTGGTTCAAATAACGGCTGGTCGGTTACGGCTTCCCATACCATCTATCTAAAACTAATAACAAGCTAACTAATTCCATGGCTGGTAACTGGACAGGACGTCGTGGTTTACAATAGTATTAAGCCATCTTATCTGTTTTCTTCTGTAATATGTAAATCCTATCCTAAATTACGTGGAGTGTGATTCATTAGCAAGTATGTGCACCAAGATGGCGCACAACCTGATAACCCTAACCTGGTACATACTATGTTTAGGTTGTGCGCCATCTTGGTGCACATACTTCGCGAGCACCAATTAGCAAGGTATAACCTGCCCTTTTTTTTTATCTTGATCGAACGAATTATTCACTTTCTAAAAATTGACAATTTTATTTCTTTTAGTTTGATTCCAGTACCAAGAACGTCTAATTCTGGAAAAAACAACAGAAAGGACAGTGGAATATATTTGAAAATCGTGTTCATGTCAAAATGGCCAAAATTAAATGCTTTGCTATTCCATCCAAATGTTTTATCTTTACTATTAAGCTTTTTTCGTCGGCTTTACCACTCTTAGAATTTATTTAAGCGTTTTCGCTTTCTTAAAGCAATGTCGGGACCTGAGACTCGAGTCTGAGTCACTTCAAGTCTTTGAAAAACTGTGTTTTCCTCCCAAATATGTGCTAAGGTGAAATTTTGGCCCATTTACTGCGTTTGGGTTAAAACGTACGAAGTTTAATTTAAACTGGTCAACTTTTTCAAGGTGTTTTAAAATATATAGCTTTCTTTTCTGTACTAGTGGAAATTATTGCAGCGTGACTATTTTTCGTACTCCTGTAGTATGTGAACCAAGATGGCGGACACTGGAACTTAGTATGTGTGTCAGGCTAGGGTTGGGCCATAATTTCAGGTACACATACTATGTTCCGGTGTCCGCCATCTTGTTTCACACACAACAAGTGTACCCTATTTTTAATAATTCAATTGTCTTATCAGACTTCCTTGATAAAAACGAAAAAATCCAACTCTTTTTATGCGGTTGAAAGTATTTTAACAGCTTTCCCTCCGCTTGAGCTAAGCATAATTATGGTGCCTTTATTCTAGTGTGGTTTGCAAACTGCTCTTGTTGGGGTGGGGTGAATTTGAAATAATTTGCCACCTAGTGTTTTAATTATATTGCGTGCCTGAAACTCCCTCTCAAAATAAACATTGTGTCGTCAGATATGTTGCAATAAATAAAGTTTGGTGGAAAAATGAATGTTTTGTATTAGACCTGACGGGAAAGCGCATTCTCTCCGAACCAGCTATAGACAAGCTGATGTGGTGTAGAACAAGGGTGCACAACCTGCGGCACTCGAGCCGAACGCAGCCCACAGGGAAAAATTGTGGGGACCGCGAACTTGTCTTTAATTTAGTCTTTTAATCTGGTAGTTGCGAGGAATTCCAATCCCTCTGCGTTGCAAAGCTTGTAACTGAGTCCAATTTATTATCTATGGCAGCGGTTCCCAAACTATAGGTCGCAAAAGGAATCTTAGATTCGATTCGAAAAAATGATTCGATTCTGAAATCACAAGGTATTCGAAAATGCCCAGCCCTATTAAATTAATATATATATATATTTTAAATGCGGCAGCAAATAGTTAGTCAGTTATTTGTTTCAGATGCATAAACTTGATGGCGGAAAAAGTCGCAACCGATCAGTGGTAACGCGGATTACGGTGGCCCGCTATAAAGTCCCTAAGAATTTATTAACCAGCAAAAGACGAGTCAGCAAAACCAGTTTTACTATCTGACCGTTGCTATTCAATATTTCGAGAATTTAAGACAAAGCTAATGTTGAATCTTCGTAGAAACTTTTATTGAAAAACGGCGAAGTATGTACACCAAGATGGCGCACAACCTGAACCCTAACCTGGTACCCATACTATGTTCAGGTTGTGCGCCATCTTGGTGCACATACTTCTGGGGGTCCAAATTACGAAGAATCAAAATATTTTAATAAAAAGTTGGAGGTATTCAAAAATGACAAATATATGTTTTATTGTTTAATTTTCGAATCTTCTGTACAAAACCCTTGCCACTAATGCAAAAATGTGAGATTTCAGAAAAACAACCGCTGCGTTCTAAAATAACGCAGTTAGTTGTAATTATCCAGTTCCGGTTAGGGTTAGAAAATATTTGACTTTCCAGCGCGATCTGCAATCCTAACCCTAATTGGCTCGGCGGTGTGGCGCATCGTGCTAAGCGTTAGGAATACGCTCGCCACCGCATCTCTGATTACCCTTCGTGGGATCGCAGGTTTGAATCCCATGTGGGGATGATCATGTGCGAGAGGATTGCTGGACTCCTCGCCGTCGTAGGGTAACCGCTGGTCGGATACGGCTTCCTCCACCACCAAGTCCATGCTTCCGAAAACAAACAATACAGTAAAACTAATCCCATACCCGACTTGGAATGGTAACCGGACGAGAGGCCGTGGTTCGCCATATGGATAAGCCGTCTTATCGGCTTTCCTCTCCCTCTGGAGAAATATGTAAATCCTATCCTATTACTTATTTTGAGCGCGGGATTTGTACAAAAGATCCCAATTATCTTTATGTACCGCGCTTTCGGATCAAAATCCTCAAATTATTCCATCTCAACGTGGCTGCCGCAACCAGTATGTTCCCCAGCTTTTCTTTTTAGGAGGGGGGGGGGGTGTTCCAAAATTTAGGGGGTGGTAAATAATTTTGAGAAATAGGCACCAAAATAGGCTCTAAGCTTGATTTTAGATACACCTAACATCGCAGTTCGTTATGTAATGAAATCAATAATTATAATATTTAGCTGATAGAATTCCCGGGGAATAGATAACAAGCACGGCTTTCAACCGTAAATATATACTACTACGTTTCAACAAGTAATTTGCAAGTTGCAACTGATAGTGACTAATGAAGTTACTTGCTCATCTGCCATTGTATGAATGGCTACTTATGGCTTGTTTTGTTACACATTTCTAATTTTTTTGAACATGTTTGTTTGACTTTTGTATGAATTAAATTTTGGAATAAGCTCGTCAACTGATCATAATGTCGCATAATGTTGTATTCCTTCAGAACTGAAATATTTTGTTGGTAAGAAGACAAATCGCTGAAGTTTGATTCTTTTCAATAAAGAAATAAAAACGCTGTCATTCATCTAAAAAACGTCTGTTTTCAGTGCCTAGTTTTCGTTTTGTGACATCTTTAAGCTTTCTTAATATACGGCTGATATCTAAAATACTGCAGTGTGTAATCCTAATACCCATACGTATACATAAGATACCGGAATAATTCAATTGTTACGAAATAAACGTGCTTAAACTGTGATAATGATGTAACAATAGACGGTATCTAAAACTCAAAAGGTACCACATGAAGGGTTAAACTATTTCACTCAAGTTCGGCGGGCCATTTTAAATCGTCACGCGGGCCGTAATTGGCCCGCAGACTGCGGTTTGGAACCCCTCAGTGTGGAATCGCACCTCAAAATTAGGGGGGGTGTTTGAAATTTTAGGGGGGGTGTTCACCCCCTATAGGGGGGGTGTAGGGAAATCACTGGCCGCAACGACACTTGCTCAACATCTTGCCGTAATTCAGAAATACAACACGCTTGATGGAATTGATTGGTAGGGTGACCGTACATTTGAACCCATCCGTATATCCGCGGGTTCAATCTATATGCGGGTGCTAAAACACCTGAGTTAGAGTTCGTATGGGTTCAAATATCCGTAAAAAAGTCCATAACTGCAATAGTATGCAGGTGCAATTGTCGTGGGTTCTAATGTACGGGAACCGGTTGATAGAGTAGACCAGTGGTTCTTAAAGTATGGGTCGCGGAAGGTTTGAAAATGGGTCGCGACAAGGTCGTCAATGCAAGGGCAATCTAAGAGGAGGAGGACGAATTTTCAGCTTTCCCAATGTTTCAATTTAGCTTCTAAACTCTGGTATTTAAAAATAATGAAATATAAAATTTCATTCACGGAAAGAACTGTCTTGAGCTCATTGTTACATCACAATTCTGATATGCCAGTCACGTGTATTATTTTTATGGTATCGGTAACCATGCACGTCGCTTGTCGTTGTGTTGACCGCGTGGAATGTCGTCTTAGTGGATTAAAATAACCAAAAATGGGTGTCTATTTGGTAATGTAAATTGTAATAGACGACGCAATGAAAAAGCTCGCTTCTCGACATTAGATTATTCAATAACTAGAGAAAATGTGACTTCATCTCGAGGCACCATTTACCGCGAACGAAGCAGTGTGTGCACATTTGAGTAAAAAGTTGTATATTGCGAGAGATACCGAAGGCCAGCTAGGATGTCGTGTTTGCGACGGACAGCGGACGCCTTTTCTGCTACAATTCGCGACAAGGCACTTGTGCGAGCGAGGATATTTGGCACTGACGGTTATCAAAACTAAGCTCGCAATCGCCTCGATACCCGTGACAACTTGCGTATTGCGTTAAGTAAAATAAAGCTGTGTATTGAAGATATAATGAAGAGGAAATTTCAGTTTCATCAATCTCACTGAGTCAATGGACTGTTTCTAATAAATAGTTGTCTGTATTTGAGTCAAACTGTACTAACATTAAAAACACATTTTGCGTTTTTTAGGATTGGGTCGCGAGTATTCATAAAACTCAGATTTGGGTCGCGCTCGAAAAAGTTTAAGAACCACTGACAGTAGACAGAGGGATTTTTCCTCGACCGCATCTCAACAAACTTCATAGATAACTTCAACAGATGCTGATATCAGGATGATAACTCTTGTAAATACTTGCGTCTTGTACGCCAGCATTGAAAAAACACAAACACTTACTCTTTTTCAATCTTCCAAGATGCAAAAATCTAGATTTATAACCCCTTTACAATAATAATAATTACCTTCACTGTGAACTTCCAATTGGTGGGAACATGGCGGGCGCTTTATTTTTCTTATTATCATATCGAGACTTTTTTTTCTGATTGGCGAATGATAAATCTCTTTCTCACACAATTGTTACAATCCCCGTCTTTTCTGCTTCCCGGGCGAGTTTCTGATAATGATGTCTCTAATCATACATGGACTGGTAACTGGTTTCCCGGAACGCTTCAATCGCTGAGCTCCCGCGCCGAATACCGAATCGGTGCTCCCGTAGTATTCGTACCAAGATGGCGCACAACCTGAACATGGTATGTGTACCAGGTTAGGGTTAGCAGGTTGTGCGCCATCTTGGTATGAATACTACGGGAGCGCCGCCAAATCGATGTTACTTCTTCTCTCAACGATTGGAGTGATCAATCAACGGCACCCAGCACTTCGAATAGGTTCAGAACAAAATTTTAAATAGTCGCCATTTTGATTTTTATTCTGCTAATGGTCGAGGTAATTCCCCATTTTATTTTATTGAAGCCAAGCCATATTTTTTTCAATGCAATTCTGACGTACGACCATTTCTGCAGTGAATTATTATTGATAAATTAGTGTTAATCTGTCTTAGTGACGTACTCTATATTTTCAGTAATTTGTTTGTTGGCAGAACCAACTACAATAAATAAGTCGTATACACTTACATAATTCCCATTAACTCCCAAGTATTCGAGATTCGATTCGAAAAAATATTAGACTCTGAAATCATCAGGTATTCGAAAATGCCAGCCCTACCCAACCTTCCACCATAAATATAACCAGACAGTAATGGACAACCATAATTATTCTGAATGGAGAAATTCCGCATAGACAGTTTAATAAGAAAATAAATAGGATATGGTGCTCCCGAAGTATGCGAACCAAGATGGCGGACATCGGAACGTAACATGGGTAACAGGTTAGGGTTAGGCGATAATTATTTTCCAATTTTCCTTATTTTAGTCCTATTATCAGTTCGAAGACTAGCCAAGAGCCTCCCGTAGTATTTATACCTAAAATTATGGCCTAACCCTAACCTAGAACACATATTACATTCCGATGTCCGCCATCTTGGTTCGCATACTTCGGGAGCCCCAAGGATATTTTGCAACAAGGATGGGCCAGGTATTCACTGGAAAAATAGAAAACAATTTCAATTATTGATATTTAGCAGTGATGAGATTCAGGGGTTCACAGCATATTCTTGGAATGTCATGGTGATCGTTCTCATGTTTGTTAGACGTTGTGAGACTCCAGCAAATGGGTATGACAGTTCTAGAAAAATTCGCTGCAGGAAATTTTTCACATAGGAAAAATTGCCACAGGAGTATTATGCTGTAAAACAAGCATTTGTGATAAAACAGCTAGGGTTTTAGGTACCTTTTTATTTAACAAATTTCAATTAACTTTTTTTTTTGTATGAAAAATCACCGCAATAGGGGTATGCTCTTGAATAACAACGAATAAAAAGATACTCCAAAAACTAACAGTTTCTATTACGAATACTTGTTTTACCGCAAAGTCCACTTGCGGCGAATTTTCCTAGAACCTTAAGTATAGAATGGCTAGCCACCATAGCAGTTTGCGGACAAGGAAAATTAAAAAATCTGCTCAGACTTAGATTATAAATATTTTACCAAGGCTTCTTCCAGCAGGAACGTAGTCAGGAATTTTTAAAAAGGGGGGGGGGGAGGGCTGAAATTTTTAATTGCCAAGTTGGACAGTTATCGGGTCCTTCCGATATATATAATACCCCTGCTTCCAGGACGTACCCCTCTCTTCCAACCCCAGGTTAAAGTTGATTTTGGATTGTGAGTTGCTTCAAACAGTAACAATGTAAATAAACAAACACTCTTATAAGTTAGAATTAGGCAAGATTAGGCATTTTCATAAAAATTAAAATTTTGTAAAACGTTGTCAGTAGCAAAATCGCAAGTTCAAAAGGTTAAAAAGGCAGTGACAAGATAGACGCTAAAATTTCTAATGAATTAGTCAAAGATAATTTGAATGTAATGCTGTAATAATTTTTTTAAAATGCTGTTCAAGAAGTTACTTTTTATTTGGAACGATCGAAAATAACCATTTTTGCATTGAAAGCCATATTCAGTGCCAAATATAGCATATATTGCAATTTCTTATTTGAATAAGAAAATTAAATGTAAGAATCTGAAATAGGCAAGCAGATTTAGGCATGTAAGCTTTCACAAAATGTTGTTTTCCATGCAAATTTTGAAAAGTTTTCAAGGCAATGTAATAACAAAAAAAATACTGAATAAAATCTCAAATAAAAATTTGAAATTAACGAGTTTTTAGGGCAGTGCAATTAATTAAGAAAAATCTAAATAAATTCAATTCAGTCAAAAAATATTCGAGAATAATGTTTTTGTGAGAGATCCATATTTATATTCGACACTCAATATGCCTTTCACTTTTAACAATGCCTTACACCAGTGGCCAATGATATAATATTATTTCAAGGAATTTAAACCAGAACATAAATTCAAATTTAAAACACTTGTGATGGCAGTGCTAAGCTGAGAAATTTTGGGGCTAGTCCACTAAACACCGTCAAGTAATTCTAGTTTGCGTGTCACAACCTCTTTTGCAAATATTATTCTTAACCCCCCCTGACTACGTCATCCAAAAATTAAGCTTTTTTTTTGTTCTCTTGTCATAAAAATCCCGAAGATCGCTGGCATTAGCGAGCGGTGATGCCATTTTGGGCGATCGTAGCTTTTCTTTGGCAAACTCTATGACGTGATTGTGACGTCGTAATGACATAATTTTTAGATGACACAGCCAGGTATGCAAGAATGTTTGTTGCTCGCCAACTAGAAGTACCTACAGCGTTTAGTAAACATGCGCCGAAATTTCTGCCATGGGAGCTGTATAATAAAAATAAAAATAAATATGCTGCATGAGTAAATAAAACTAGACAGTTTCTGCATAAGCGTTATTGAATAAAAAGAAAAATGATTATTTGATTATTAGTAGAATATTATAAGTGATGTATATCTTGACATATAAGCCGACCCCGAAAACGCCGATCACGTGCATGACAACCAATCACAGACTGTTATCGCTGTCATAGAGTACCAAGTGCCACTTCACGTGTGAGCGTGCACACTAGTTTCGTGATAATTTAGCATAGTTCGAGTTGTTGCTGTTGGAATTAAGTTAGCGTTATCTTTTTTTGTTAGAGTGCTATTAAAGTTATGCGGGTATAAGCCAAATTTTTTAACTGCGATCAGAGTTATACGAGAATAAGCCAAATTTTAGGTGTGTAATGAATATAAGTCGATTCTTTAGTCTGGCAACTTTTTTTTAGATTTAAACTCGACTTATATATGAGGATATACGATAGATCAGTGACACTCCGCGAACGAGTCCGCAACTGAAAGTAGGAAAAATACTGTCGGGAAAGGAATGTTTTGATAGCTTCAAAAATATTTATCATTGCAAAAGTTTGTGATATGGAATAAGTGAAAATTTTGTGAAATGTGTAAAAATCATTTGACTATCACATTTTTATAGCTTCATGAAAGTTTGCTCAAATGAGTCCAAAACTGAACGTAGGAAAAATACTATGGGAGAGTTGCATGTACTACTCATGTGTTGATAGCTTAAAAAATATTTATCATTGCAAAAATTTGTGTTATGGAACTTGGAATAAGTAATTCAAAGTGTAAAAATTACTTGACTATCACATTTTTTAAGGGTTAAATGAAAGATTGCTCAAACGTGTCGTCCAAAACTGAACGTCAGAAAAATACTGCGGGAGAGTTGCTAGTACTATGTGTTGAAAGATTCAAAAATATTCAAGTTAGGATTAGGCAAGATTAGGCATTTCCATAAAAGCTAAAAGATTTGTAAAATGTTGTCAGTAGCAAAATCGCAAGCTAAAACGGCAGTGACAGAATAAAAGAATCCTGCCTAAAATTTCTGATCGATAAGCAAAAAAATATTTATAAACGATCTTATCCACACTTAAGAAGTTAGTTTTTATTTGTGAAAACAATTAGACAATTTTTTGAGGAGGCAATAAAAATATGCTAAGTTATTGTTATCTAGTTATTTTCGAGGTGGGCACGAGACTTGACAAATTCTAAAAAGGGGGGTAAAAAGTTTGGCGACCACTGAATTGGAGTGTAATTGTGCTTGAAATATTCAAGTCAACACTACTAGGAAACACAAAAGAAAAAATCCATTCAAAAACCATTTTGTACACTTGTAAAAGTTCACTTTATTCCTTAATTTCTAAGTTCTCCACGGCGTCAGTGAATGTTTCAACCTCCTCCTTTGTGAATTCAGCTTCAATGTCTGAGCCGACGTTTGTACTTGGTTCCCATTCATCCTGTAAGAGATAAGACAAGGATATGATTTACATATTCTTACCAAGGGTTAGACAGTTATTTGTTTCAGAGGCGCTCCTGAAGTATGTGTACCAAGATGGCGGACACCGTAACATAGTATGTGTACCAGGTTAGAGTTAGGCCATAATTTCAGGTACAAATACTACAGGAGTCACTTGGCTAGCCCCCGAACTCGTAACAGAATTAAATAAAGTGAATTGGAATAAAATTATGTCCTAACCTTAACCTGGTGCACATACTACATCCCGGTGTCCGCCATCTTGGTACGCATACTTCAAGAGTACCGTTTCAGATGCATGGACTTGGTGGTGGAGGAAGCTGTAACCGATCAGCAGTGAACCACCATACAGCGCGCATAATTATCCCCTAGAATTCGAACCTGCGTACCCATACATAGTAATCAGAGATGTGATTGCGAGCGTATTCCTAGCAGTTAGCACGATGCGCCACATTGCCAAGCCAAGAAACAAAGACATCAAATTGAAAATCTTGAAAAGAGAAGGACTTTTCTATGACTTGCAGCCGCAATACCAGACTCTCAAGAGACATTGTGATCTTGAAGTCGAAGAGGTATTGTTAAAATTTCGTTACGTTGGAGCAATAATCTAATTTTCAATATTCGCTTCGCGACATATTGGATTATTTTTTGGCATCTCTAATAGAATATTATAACGGATAGGATAGGATTTACATATTTATCCCGGGGAGAGGAAAGCCGATAAGACGGCTTATCCGTATGGCAAACCACGGCCTCTCGTCCGGTTACCATTCCAAGTCGGGTATGGGATTAGTTATACGTGAACCACCCAACGACGGCGAGGAGTCCAGCAATTCTCTCGCACATAACCATCCCTGCATGGGATTCAAACCTGCGAACCCACGCAGAGTAATTAGAGGTGCGGTGGCGAGCGTATTCCTAACGCTTAGCCCGTTGAGCCACATTGCCGCGCTTCGTAATATGAATGCGTTATGAGTGTAGGTGAGACGGTTTGACTTTATCACAATTCGAAAATACCATAGACTTCACTTCCTTGTAATTTGGGGATATTTAATTTCTGAAAATTAGTGATCCATTTTTAACACAACGGAGCCACGGAGAGCTAAAAGCCTCCACGTGACACGAGCCAGAAAGGATTGGAAACCACTGCCTAACCACAAGGCCATCGTTTCTCATACAATGACGATTTCCTCACCAGGGAAGAATTATGTCGTTTTTGGAGAAGAATTTTGCTTTGTATTTGGCATAGTATTAACAATATTCTGAAGTTCTTTCTTATTACTATAAAACATATTTATCCAACACTGTATACTACTCAAACTGTACAGAAGCAGGACTTGCTAAGATTCCATTAAAGATTGAATAAACAAAGTTCTTTTAAAAGAGGGAGAAATAAAAAAAAGGTCCCAAAATAAGCGAAGTGAGGAATTTAACAAAAAGATTGGGAACCACTGTATTAGGCTCCATTAGTAAAAGAATAGTTAAGACCCTTTTAAAAACACTTTGTTTGTCACAAGTGGAAAAAGATTGGGTGCGCCAGAAGTATGCGCACCAAGATGTCACACAACCTGAATCCCAACCGGTACACACATACTATGTTCAGGTTGTGCGCCATCTGGGTGCGCATACTTCTGGAGGTCCGAAGATTGTTTGTATATTGTTAAAAATAATGATCGAATATTATATTCGCTTCAGTCATCCCTGGTACATTTTACTCTAATTGACCAATTTCCAATATTCGGATGAGATAACTGATATCAGAGCTTAGGGAGTATATGAGAGAGATAGTGCGAAGTGAAACTTATGAGCAGGAAGTCGAAGAATTTACAAAAAAACTTTTATAGAATTCATGTCTGCTGAGCTTACCGTTCCTCCCAGAACTGTCTGCAACTGCTCCAGTGCAACATACTTTTCTAAATCCTTCCTCGAACAATGATGGGTTCGATTCTTGATTTCTTCGTCAAACCATACTTTGACAACGTTCCAGATCGCTGAAATAAAAAGTCTGATTTCAGGAATTTTCATATTTATCCAGGGAGAAGAAAGGTGATAAATAAACTTGATGGTCTGGTAGGATTTTCATATCTATCCCGGGAAATGGAAAGACGATAAGATGACCTAATAAGGAAGGTTTTCATATTTATACCTGGAAGAGGAAAGCCGATAAGATGGGTTGAATATAGAATAAGGAGGAAAGCTGATAGGAGAGATTTAATCACAATGAATTTGCAATTTCAATGTATGCCCGCACTGGAAAGGTGTGAGGCTCCTGAAGTATGCGCACCAATGTAGCGCACAACCTGAACTCAGGTTGTGTACCAGGTTAGCGTTCAGGTTATGCGACATCTTGGTGTGCATACTTCAGGAGTACCGAGGCTGCTCCTCACTATGTTGTTAAGCCATCTAATCCATTCTCTCTCCCCCAGTTCGCTATCATACAAAATCATTTATTTTTCTACGCATAAATGGGATTTCACGCTCCACCCCCTACAACACCGAATGTCCGGACAAAGTCCAGATTATGTTCTCAGTGGGTCTGTGTCACCTGTTATACTAGCGATATTAATTCCAGATTGATTTGGTGTTCTAGCTGATAACGGAAAATTTACAGGAAAAAACAGTGACATGTATTAACTTTTTTTGTTTCGATTTTGATATATAATATCATGGATTTCAGTCACAATAAATTATTTCGTAATGCCCATTATAAACTTGTCGAAAAAGAAAATTTTGTTAAACCAATCACCTCTGGGGACTTCCCCCTCCTCCAAACAAAAATTATTTTTACCTGTTAGTACTCCTGGCAAATCGACAACAAACGTTCTCCCTGAAAAAAGAAAAGAGTTTAAAAAATTTTTAAATAAAATCAGAAAGTAATGGTGGAATTTATGAGCATGAAACTCGAACAACTACTGCAAACTTCCAGCAGAATATTGAATGAATTGTGCCAGATGTCATACAGCAGTGTTCCCCACAGACTAAAAAATTGTCAGCTGATCAATGTCTTGTGCAACCCAAATGTTAAAAGAATTAATGTAATAAATGTGATTAAATATACCTTTAGGGGGATAATGTGACCTTATTTGAGAGCAGATTTTACAGCAATGAATTTTAATTTTACATTCAAAATTCGTCAGGGGATAAAACAATAGAGCAGGGGTGAGCAGGTTTTCAGATCAGGGGCCAAATATTTTGCCCACTTAGACTGGGATCCTTTAGGAGGATAATATGACTTTATTTGGGAGCAGATTTCACAGCAAAAATTCGAAATTCATTTCAAAAAATTCTTCGGGTTTAAAGACAAAAGAGTAATGCTCAAATTGAAGGGGGTAAATGACAATTCATGGGTAAATGGGGTCATTGGTAAATGACAATTTTTTGCCACAGGAAGATCAGCAAAATTCTAGCTAAATGTCAGGAGAAGTGTATCTGATTTCAATATGAATATAATAAAAACAAGGAAAATGCTGGGTGGGGTAATTGGGCTCGTAATAGTAAAGCATTTAGTCATAATCATCCAAAGTCAATAGGCTTCTGGTCCGAGATATGATGAATGCACATGCAAAATTTGGAGCAGATGCAACTTCGCTTTCGTGAAATATCGTGTGTATCTAACAGACAAACACATAAACAGACAAATATCTATCAACATACTTATCATTCTTGATGTGCAACTTGTGTAGAAAAGTAATTTTTTTGACGCTGTGATTCTGCTACTTACCCAATAAACTTGGAAAATAATACATGAAGGAATCTACAATCAGTTTGATGACTCCAAGATCCACGTTACTCATCCCGCATCCTCCTGCATCCAGGATGAACATCACTCTGGATCCTGGGTCGTTACGTTGCAATCTCTCCATCAGGTACATGAGTAATTTCTTCGCTTCAGCCTCGTCTCCTTTAGAAAACCGTTTTCCGATAAAATAAACTGAAAAAAAGAGCAATGGTTAAATATATGGCGCTCAAGAAGTGTGTGTATCAATATGGCGGTAACTAATTTTGTTCGCTCACTTCACATCAAGTTGTGTAACGGGACTGAAACTTATGGGCAGGGGGTATATTCACTTGGCTGACACAGGCAGTCCCGAGATCGTAATAAAACTGAAATAAGGAAAATCGGAATAAAATTATACCCTTCCCCTAACCTGGTACACATACTACGAAATTACCGAATATATTCTCATACAATGGGAGTGCGGATTGCTGTCACTGTAGGCTAGTTGGCACATAACTGCTGGTCGGTTACAGCCTTCACCATAGCCATGGGCCTCCAGTTGGGAAGCACTGGTTTAAACTGCTGGTGTTAGACTAAAAAAACATCACCATGCCAATAAAAATTTCCAAAGCCATCGCTTTTTGAGCTATCCGGAATTGTTACAAGAATTCCGTCTCTCGACCACTTTAAAGTATTTTAATAAAAAGTTAAAATAGTTTGAAAATCAAAAAATGTGTATTTCTCATTTTTCCGATTTTGCCTTTTTGGGGTTCACTAACGCTAAGTGGATGCAATACGAGAACTCACTAATCCTATTTCCATCACGATCTTTTCCTCGGATGAAAAAACTTTTTTTTGAATAGAATTCTTCATCAATGTCACAGGCTGAAAGATCTGTCAAGACAAATGAAAATATGTCATTAGACGGAGCTGTAGCGTTCTGTTTTAGTGACGTGTTAGTGTTCTATAGAAGTTGGGTTAGGAATCCTGTAACTTGTAATGCAGCCCTAACCCTAACCCTAGGGTTTTCACCATCGAGTTGGTGAATTAAAGACCAATTATGCTAAATTCCCACAGCTACAACTTGTACGGCGTGATACAATTTGAAGAATGAGCTTATATTCTAATTTTTATAAATTCAACGTGTTAGCGTCGTTTTTAGGGCGCTGCGGTCAGCTTATATTCGAGGACATCTATTTTTACTCTAAAACTTTCATCAGGAGGTTAATTCAACTGACTAGTGTGTCCATTGACTAAAGTCATGCGTCAAAATAACCCAAATTATTCCAGTCCTTCAAAAATTATTAGTGGATTCTTATACAGTCGAGTCAAGTTTATTTTTTCCAACCAGTAAAAAAGGTAGGTTTCACACAAAATACGAAAAGAAAAAAGAATGCCATGTTCAGAGAAAAAGGATTAAAAATATTGTGTTAAAAATACTTTGGCCGTGAGCAAACTCTAATAAACGTAACCAGTGACTAAAGTCAGGTGATGTCATGCGTCAATAATTTTAAATTAATGAGATGAGTAATTAGTTTAACTAAGGGATCACACGGTAGTAAACAAGCATGGCCCAAACTTGAAATGATCATAAAAGTACTCATGCCCCTCAAAAATAGTTTAATTCCGTAGAAATGTGTGATGAGTCAGATTTCATGTAAAGGAAGTAGCCAGTTGTACTATGGAATGGAATAAGCAACCAAAAATTAGGCTTTTAAAACAAATTAGTTGTAAAAAAAATAACTCAAATTAAAGCAAGAGCCATGACCCAGTATAAGGGTAGATGAGTAATTTACAATTCCAATACTGAAGGGGTCGTGTACCCCCATTTTTTTTATTTTTCGTCATATTTTTTGAAATACAATTTTGCGGCATTTGCAGTAAAACATAAATTCATATGCCTTTTTCAACACAATTAATCTATTACTGAACGATTTACCGAAAAACGGACGAGTACTGCCTTGCTATCAATAATCCTTTCACCAAATGAACTAACAGAGATGGTGAAGAATGCGCGCGTAAACGGTTTGGATAACTTTGACAGCGAAGTACATAGAGCGATTCTTTAAAGTATCAGTGGCTATGTTTATCCAGCTCAAAAGACATGAGTAAGCGCCATTTTTACATCATAATACAAAAAAAATTTTGGACCCCCCATTAGTGAGTGCCAGACATTGTGCTACAAGATTCTGTCGACACGCCTCACCTGTCACATTATTCTTCTTTCTCCATTCAAAAACATCAGCTGCGAGTTTGGCAGAATCTGATATGTTATTCTTCTTCCACATAAGAAATGCGGAAGCGTAAGCATCGTCATCCAACAGTCGTGTTACATCACGAGAATCAAAGTTTTCTTTTTTTATAGTTTCTGTAAATATATTTTGAGGAAATCAACTCCCCAGTTCTAGTAATGATAGTAGTAAATGAGTATATGACACTAAAAATTCTTCGCATAAATACAAAATTAAATTTCCCGGTCTTGTGTAGTTTTGTACCTAACGTACTTCTAGTGGGCGTAGCATAAAGATTTGTTCACATGTCAATCCTAACCCCCACCTGACTACGCCATCCAAATATAATGTCACTACGACGTCACAATCACACCATGAAGCTTGCCAATAAGAAGCTACGATCCCCCACTGCCGACGATAACGCCAGCGATCTCTATCATATCGGGATCGCTACAACGAGAAAAATAGCTTGCTTGATTTCGGGTGATCGGCTGCGCATTTTAGACGACAATACGTATACTTTGACGGGCCTTAATTTTTAGATGACGTCGTCAGGTAGGGGTTAATAATGATACGTATATGGGAAAATGGTTATGCTATGCCAACTAGAACTACTTAATGGCCTTCAGTGAACTAGACCCAAAAATTCCTCATACAAATACGAAATTAAATTTTATTCCTGAAAACAACAACTAAGAAGTAAGGGTGGTATGAGTGCAATAAATTATAATGCTGATGTTAAATTGCTGAACCAGAATGATTCCTGTTTCAAGGATGATATATCATTTTATCTCAGGGGAACTTAACGCGAACCATGGCCTCTTGTCCGGTCACCATGTCGGATTTATCAGTTATTTGTTTCAACGCATGGACTTGATGGTGGAGGGAGCCATAACCAACCAGCAATTACATTACCACCCTGTGGTGATGAAAATTCGAGCAATCCTCTTGTACATAGTTATTCCTCACAGTATTCGAACTCGCATAATGGAATCGCATGTGCCCTAACGCTTGATACTATGAACCACATGCCATTGTTCACATACCCCTGAACTACGCATACCGTATACTGATATAACACACACAAACTTTTCTCATGGCAAAAGGCACGAAGACTGTTTGTTGTAAAAAAAAGGATCCTTGTAAAAAAATTTTCATTTTTTTTTTATTTGTATGGCAATTATATTAACAACAGATTCTAGTCAGATTTCAAGTACATGTCATAATAGCAATGGATCATAGTTGAGTTGATCATTAAGATCACAGTAATTCTATCATACATAATCATCCATCCAGTCTCAAATCATCATTGAGGATTTGAACCTACGAAAACACTTCGTGATCTGGAGGGGGTTTAGCATCAGCGGGTAATGCCATTATCTTGTTATACATTTTTGTCGCTGCAGTCCTTTTTGCATGCTTCTTTGCTGTTCCATTGCCATATTCTTGAAATGATTCCGCTGTACAACACATGATGAATTCTTTTTTATGAGCAGAACCAGACTCTGCGTACATTGAGTATACTGGAAGACCCAACCCTCTAGCCACAGCCAATTCTTGTCATGTTCCGTCAGGGTCCACCTGTAAAGATATTTCTTCAATATTCTGTTCAGGAACTTCCTGTTGATTCTGCGATTCATCATCAGCATCCCCACCATTTTTCAGTGAATTAAATACGGCATCAGCAGCAGCATGTTTAGCTGCTTTCTTACTACAACCCTGTCCAGTCTTCATGATATCACCAACTGTGCATCGATACACAAATTGGGGTTCGTAAGCCTGTCAGATCGTATTGAGGTGTCTTCCCCATTCTCTGACATACTTCATGAAGAGATGAAATCGGGAGTCCCAAAAAAACGCAGAACCTGTTGCTGATGTCGGACTGGTAAGTGTACTTCTTCTCATAGTTGAAGTGATGTTGTTCTGCTGCACAATAGTTGGCGAGTGAAGGCTCATTTTCTTTTATAAATAAATACCTAACTTTTAATCAAAACAGCATCTTTGTAAAAATCACTCCTTCAATACAGCAAGTGCAAACGGCATCTCACGGTCCAGGTTATGTATACATAATTTATGCTCCTAGTTGTGGTGGGCAATACAAGTCAATTAGTCGAAAAATGTCTGATATTACCGGTACCACAGTATTAAAAGATTTATCTGTTTTCCCCCAGCGAATCCCTTTTTTTTATCGACTATCAACAGTCATTTGTTAACTCACCCATATACTGAGAAGTAAATTTCTCTCTGAAATTCTTGATTGATTCGGCATCCATCTTTTCTGATTTCAGCTGCACTGCCAAAACTAATGATGATTCACAGCCAGACAGAGTGAAACGACGTAACACCTTCGTAAAATATGAAACCAAAACAAACCGGTTGTGTTGTAAGGAGTCAATAATTTCGTAATCTGGAATTTGATTGCAGTTGTCACCGAATCACCATAACTCGTTTAACTGGGATATCTGCATACCAATGAAGACTGGAGGATGTAATGATTATAAAATTTACATATTCATCACGGGTGAGCAGAAGGTCGATATGACAGCATAACGATAAATCACGAACCCTCGCTCTCGCCTGGATGTTGTCCTGATCATCAACTTCCTTGTTTACTTCATGACATTGGCCAATCAGCAAGATGCAAAAAGTGATGTTTAACGTGAACTACCATACGGAAGCGTGCAATCTTCTCGCACATAACACTGACAGAATGGTCTGACAGAACCGAAAAATCATTTTGATAACTGCTACTTCTGTGCAGTAAACACGAAGGGAATTAATTGGAATAACGGGAAATCGTTGGTTTATTCAAACCTCGAGTCTGCAATTAGGCCAATTTCACACTGCAATGAAATTCTTGTTCCAGTGTTTTAAGGCTTGCTCGAATTGGAAATACTTGGTTCTGAAGAAGACCAATATTACTCTGCGTTCGCAGGTTCAAATCCCATGCAGGGATGGTTATGTGCGAGAGAATTGCTGGACTCCTCGCCGCCGTTGGGTGGTTCACGTAACCTCTGATCGGTTACAGCTTCCTCCACCATCAAGTCCATGCTTCCGAAAACAAATAACAAACTAATCCCTTACCTGACATAAAATGGTAATCGGACGAGAGGCGTGGTTCGCCATAGGGTTGAGCCCTCTTATCGGCTTTTCTCACCCCCGGGATAAATATGTAAATCCTATCCTAACCTCCGTTTTGTCCACGGATAATAGTGAAGGCACTGTTTTAGATGTGGGTTTTCCTTTTTCTTCACTACCAAAGCTTTTTCTTTGAGGAGAACCTAATGATCAAACTAGAGATCTCAACCTTTCAGAAGAATCTTTTAAACTTTTAGGATTTACATATTTATCCCGGGGGAGAGGAAAGCCGATAAGACGGCTTATCCATGAGGCGAACCACGACCTCTCGTCCGGTTACCATTCCAAGTCGGGTATGGGATTAGTTATATTGTTTGTTTTCGGAGGCATGGACTTGGTGGTGGAGGAAGCCGTAACCGACCAGCGGTTACGTGAACCACCCAATGACGGCGAGGAGTCCAGCAATCCTCTCGCACAAAACCATCCCTGCATGAGATTCGAACCTGCGAACCCACGCAGAGTAATCCCACGCTTAGCCCGTTGAGCCACACCGCCGCACTTCTAGCTTCAAGACTCAAAGAAAAAATTTACTTCAGCCTGGAACTCTCATAACCTTCTAATTATCCTACTGCGGGATTCAGAACTGCTCCCAACGCACGTTCAGGGATTTAGCCAGAAAGTTTGATAGGGGGAGGTGGTTCCGAAATTCCTATTTGCCAAGTTAGATCGAAACAGCTAGAGAGTCCGGCCGTGTTTTCGTTAGTCGTAGTGTCTAAAAAGCGTTTCAAGTTACGAAAGATTGCTATGTATGACATCGTACTGGAAGAGGGATGGCGGGTTCAGACCGGTAATAAAGAGTACTCTTGACGCTTTGCACAATTCGCTATTCCCCTTGCAATTTTCCATATGCAACTATTTTTCAACCAAGCACACGGCCGGCCAAAACGGATGCACCACGGAAATTTCAGTAAAATTAATCATAACTTGGCCTTCAATTAGTAAGAAATACTGAAACCTACCTATTCAATTTCAAATAACTTGTTGCACTAGTTACTTTCCTATTATTATAACTTCATATTCACAGGGTTCCAAGGACTTTGGGGTCTCTCTAAGGCTATGATCCGACCCTGCTTTTATGGCTTTCAAGTGAGGCTTGGGCTTCCACCCTGCTCCATATAATGACACTCAGCACTATGTAATAGCATATATCTTTATTGTGTGTATAAGGAGCAATTAACGAGCGTTTTAGCGAAGAAAAAATTATGACAAAACAATAAATGCTTACTATATAGGCAAGGCTGTGGAGCCTAATTTTTGGGTCGTACACAAGCAAAAGTTCCAAGTGTTGGTACTCCTGAAGTATGCGCACCAAATTCAGCACCAAAATGTCGAACAGCCTGAATCCTAATCTGGTACACAACTTGAGTTCAGGTTGTTCGCCATCTTGGTGCGCATACTTCAGGAGGTCTCAAAGAAATTAAGAAGTTTGTGGGTTGTGTTTTTTGGGTCACCCTGATTTTGGGGAATGGAATAATAACCCTCTCACACTAGGCAGAAGATATACTGTGATTCATAAAAATACAATGCGATAATAAACAAACTTACGTTGTTATACAATTTGAAATCATTAAAGTTAATTAAATAGCAATGTTCTCAAAAACACTATTTTTTGCTCAATTTTTTTTTCTCACTAGGCCCACAGTTATCACAGTAAACATGGTGCACAAAATTTCAATGTAAAAAAAATTCTCACAAATATACAAATCAAAAGAGTTGGGACTAAAAGAAAGTGACACTTTTTTACTCAGTTAGCTCCACATATATCACAGATATTGCAACATATTTTTATGAATAGAATAAGACCAGGGATGTGCATGCCGGCCCGGCAAGTCAGTGTGGCCCTTGTTAACACTCAGATTTTTCCCCATCAAGCATGAAATCCGACAGTTTATGTTTAAAAGTCACTGTCGTGGTTAAAAATACATAATCTTTTTTGCTCTTGTCGCTGCGTTAGATGTTTTGTCTGGTGTCTTTATTACTGAAGGCTAAGCAATAGCCACATTCTCTTGCCTTGCCCTCATGGAAACCCTGTTATATTTTGTGTGGCCCAGATAGAGGTCTTACTTATATGGCCCACCAACAAAAAATGTCGCACATTCCCTGAATTATACCCTTTATCACTCGCTAGGTAGTCAAAAACTTGATGATTAAATTTTTTCAAAAATTCATTGTGATGATAAATAATCTTACAGTACAGTATTATACAATTCAAAAGCAATAAGATCAATTGAGTCACTATTTACCCTTTTCCCCACAATTATCACAAGTTCAAAAAATGGTACTTAATGTGGCATTATTTAACGAAAATACAAAGTGATAAGTAATCTTACTTTATCATACAATTCAAATAGTTGTATCAAGAGATCAATTTATACACTTTTAAATTTTTTTTCCTTTAACCCAGGGCTGATAACATTTTTAAATGGAACTTGGCGGAGCGTGATTTAACGAAAATACAATGCGATAAGTAATCTTACGTTGTTATACAACTCAAATAAATTATCACAAGAGATTACGGTAATATACTCTATTTTACTTCACCCAACTATTATCACAGGGCCGATAACATGTTTTAAAGAAATGTAACTCGGCGTAGCGTGATTTACAAAAATACAATGTGACAATAAATAATCTTACGCTGTTAGACGATTTTTTTAAAAGAGTTATAGCAAGTGAACCGTTTATTTTTGTACATTTTTTGTCGCTTCGGGAGTAACCTTTTTTCTTACTTCATCCCACAATTATCACAGATTTAAAAGGAATGGAACTTATACATATATACAATGTGACAATAAAAAATGTATGTTGCTATAAGATTTTAAAATGTTATAGGCTAGCTACAGGCTTTGTCCCATAAAATAATCTTTAGCCAATTGTTTCCTTCCTTAACGCCACAATTATCACAGCAAACTTGGTTCACAAAAATTCAAAAAGAAAAAAAAATAATAGTATGTTGTAATACCATTCAAAAAGCATTATAGCTACAGGTGGATGGCCCCTCATCAAATTTTTTATTATTATTACAGCCTACAATTACCAACATATGTTCATAAGGAATGGAATAATCCCCCCCCCCCCCCCCACAGAATTTATTTTTTATTTTTTAAAAGATGATGATAAATCGGATTTGAAAAATTGAAACAAAAAATGAAAAATTTTACAAGAAAAATTGGAATTTTTTGCAACAATTACATTCTCAAAGCTTTTGTAATTCAGGGAAAATATTTGGAAAAAAAACTCATTTTTTTAACCTTAGCAAGAAGTAGACAATAATTGAAGAAACAAAATTCAGTCTAGTCTATTTTAGTACCAGAATTAACCCAAGTGGAACACAACGGAATATTCACATACAAAATAACAAGTAATTATGCCGCTATTTGCTCTTCCAGAAATTCTTGAAGTGATAATAGTCAGAATAATCAAATACAAAATAACTAAGAATTTTGCTGCCATTTATGGAAGTGAATTGGGCATTGCTCAAGCGTAACTAATCAGAATATTCACATTTAAAACAAGTGAGCTATGCTCGAACATATGGACACATAGAGCCACATAATTTTGATGACGTAGTAGCGAAAAAAAAAGTAATAGACTTCTGGAGAAAAATTTTATCTTGAACCACTGAAAATTTCAAAGCATGAAAAGCAATTCCTTCAAAACGTGTCAAAGAACAACAACAAGAATGAGAACAACATTCCAACAAAACGATCGCTATGTCCACTTTGTGTCCAATAACAAGTATTTATGCTGCCTGCTTTTGGGATTAAGAGGATTTATTGAAGCATAACGAAACAGAATAAACACATACAAAATAGCAAGTAAATATGCCGCTACCTTTTGTTGGATTAGGCAGAAATGAAAATAAATTAGACAAGTAAATTGTAATAAAGTGGCAAGGTTGCTATGAAATTGCTGGAACTTCATTAAAATATAACATTTTTTGTCATAGTGTCAAGCTATGTAGGCGAAAATTTTACCTAGCGCTTCACCACTGTGACCTATTCAATTGCTTCAATGGGAGAGAAGCCAAGTAGACGATTTATTTGAGAATTAATGCTAATGATATCATAATAGCAATTAAAATATGAGGAAAATTGATGAAATACAAGCCAAGAGTCAGTTAAACAAGCCAAAAGTTCAGATAAACGAGCCAAATGTATAGGAAAACTAGCCAAATGTTCAGAAAACGAAACAAATGTTCAGACAAACGAGCCAAATGTCTAGAAAAACAAGCCAAATGTTCAGAAAACAATAAAAATGTTCAGACAAACAAGCCAAAATTTTCAGATAAACGAGCCAAATGTCCAAAAAAACAGAGACAAATTTGAAATTTACTAGCAAACCGTGAAAATACAAATATCAGTCAATAATTCAACACTTTCAATAAAAGTTTAGAAGGAACCACAGTTAGATGAAGAAATTTCAAAATTCATAAAAGCGTGACATCACAAAAGTTTTAAAACCGGCACTATTGCATCATACTAGATATAGTGGAAAGACAACACAGTACTATTATTACAAAATAATAACAAATGGAACTTTTTACTCTTTATTAGATCACATTAGAGCAATTATTATATCACAAATAGTTTGTGACATCACACAGGTCGTAATTGCTTAACACCTAATATATATTCCCCTATTCCAAGGAAATAAACACCCTGAGCTATTCCGAACAGCGGTGCAATAACCATCGCACGTGGCAGTGCTCCTCTGAAAAACGCTTTCAAGCCTTCTTCCTTGTAAATTCGTCTAAAAGTAAAGATAAATTGCAGCACAGGGTTGTGGAAAAAAATCGCAAACACTGTATCAAAACTCGTTACTTATCGATCTTGATCAGTAAGTATGTTTGTCTGTTAGATACACGCGACATCTCACGAAAGCGAGGTTGAATCTGCTCAAAATTTTGCATGTGCATTCATCATATCTCGGACCAGAAGGCTATTGATTTTAGATGAATTATGTCGTATAATTAGCGAGTTATTATTTAATTAGTGATGGGACACGTGGTGTCGCTATTGAGAGCGAAGGATACACGCTGCTAGATCGAAGTCGGCGAAGGCCGTAATTTTATTCCAATTTTCCTTATTTTAGTTCTGTTAGGAGTTCGAGGGACTAGCCAAGGTGTCTGCCATCTTGGTTCGTATACTACAGCAGTACCAATTTGACCACGATACATCCTCGTAAATTGCACGCAATTCCAGACGTGTCCGAATCTTGACCCATTCCCAATTTACAAACGAGAATATCGGTCAGAGACCGAAGACTTATCGATCAAAACTGCGGTTTCAAATCATGACTCTATAGTGACACAGTGTGTCCCATCACTAATTAATTAATAACTCGCTAATTATACGACATAATTCATCCAAAATCAATAGGCTTCTGGTCTGAGATATGATGAATGCACATGCAAAATTTGGAGCAGATTCAATCTCGCCTTTTTGAGATATCGTGTTCATCTAACAGACAAACAGACATACAGACAGACGAATACCTATCAACATACTTACCGATCTTAAGATCGATAAGATACTTTGTATCAACCCACACAATTAGCAATTAATGTCACACAACCTACCTTGCACAATCCTTTACGCCTTTATATTCTCTGTTACTTGTTGATGGCGCCAACGTTTGAATTCTTGTCTTCACAACTAGATGAAAGTATACGATTGTTAATAAAATATTTCACACTTCTAGTCTGTGCAAGGTTCAGGCAAGCCGATATGCAGGGGTAGAGCATGTTTTAACCTCCGCAATTAATGTCATAGTCAAACATTTTATAGTATCGATAAATTTCCTTTGCAATTTTTAAATTTTCGAAGACTTCATGGACACCCTATATAATACAATATAATACAAAATAATACAAAATTACTCGGCATGGGTTATTTGTTAACTTGAAAATTTTCTATTCAAAAAAAAAAAAAAAAAACGATTTCTCAGTCTGTGAAAAAACTACTAAGAGTGAACAGTGATACTCACCATCGATAGGATTAACAGACACGGCAGCTGTTGCCCCGGCAATCATTCCTGCAAACAACGAGACAAAGAAAGGAGATCGAGTGTCGTCTCTTCGTCGTAGGCCGATGGCATTAAGATGAGCGAATAACGGGAAATAGATTACAGAAAATGGAATGTCCCTGCGTAGAAATACAAATGAATTTTTAAGACATTTTGCTCAAAGCCAGGTTAGGCAAAGGACTCATTGCTGGGTAAAACGGTACTCCCGTAGTATGTGAACCATCATGGCCGGACACCGCAACATAGTACTTGGCTGGAACCCGAACTCGTAATAGAACTAAAATAAGGAAAATTGGAATAAAAGTATGGCCTAACCTGGTACACATACTACGTTCCGGTGTTTGCCATCTTGGTTCACATACTACAGGAGCACCAGTAAAACGATGTGAATTGACTGAAATGCGCGCTCACTCCGTAGTAAATGACTCATCTTGACTCAGTGACCAAACTAAAGGTTGTGGTTCGTCATATGATTAAGTTTTATTATCAGCTTTCCTCCCTCCGGGAATGTAAATCCTATTCTATCCATCTCTGGGCAAAGTTACAGAGAAGTATATTCTTGATTTTCAGAATAATTCAGTTATTTTCCCATTCATTCAGAGCATTTGACAGCAGACAATCCGTCAAAAAACAAAGTTTACTCAACACAAATAAAAAAACAGGCGCTACTGAAGTATGCGCACCAAGATGTCGCATAACCTGAACCCTAACCTGGTACATCTGCGGTATCTTGATGCGGATACTTCAGGAGGTCCAAAAATAATTTCTTTTCTATTTCTACTGTGAATTAGCCATTCCAGTATCCTCACCTCATTAAAGTAACACTAAGTCCCTTGTACAATCCAGAGATTCCCTTAGTTTGAAGAAGACCTTTTGCTACTGATAATGTCGATTTTGATTGGATGCTTAATGTTCCTTTCTGACCAATTACAGTGCTCTGAGCAGCTAAAGAGAAGACAGAGAGAATGTAAAATTTTATCATGTTTTATACTTGACAGTTTTCATATTATTTCCACGAATATGGCCCTAGATTAGGCTTACTCAAACTGGGTACACGGCCCTCATAAGGGCAACAAAACAGTACCACGGGGGCCACGAGCAAAGGCTATACCAGTGAAGATTCACAATTAATATCTTAATCCGTTTTTAGAATGTCATGGTAACTGCGATGAAGTTCTTTTTTTCGTTTTACACATTACATGACTGCAGCAAATGGGTATTGGTTTACGAAGACCGTCAACCAGTGATTTCCCATAAACCACCCTAAAATCTCGAACACCTCCCCTAATTTTCAGGGGTGACACCGTACTTCAAATCTTAACATAAGTAAAAATGTATTTGAATATTCAGAAACTGTCTCATAAGCTGACAAAGATAACACCTAACACATTTTTATGAGCAACAAATAGTTTTATCACTAATAACAAAATATTTACCACCCCCTAAATATGGGAACATCCCCCCTAAAATAAAAATCTGGGAAGCATGACAGATAGGAAAATCAAAACTTGAAATGTGGTTTGAAGCGAAAGATTACTGTAGACATGTACAACAATAACACAAACTTACCTAATTTTCCTGCCAATTGTCCGTGTATTTTCAACATTTCCATGGGCGTGGTCACAACAACTTGGAACAGCCCCGCCCCAGCTCCTGCGGCCACCTCTTGCATTAGAGAAAGATGGCCACCTTGTGACATGGAATGACGTAGCGTATCGTTGGCCGCTAATTTTATCGCCTTTTCAGGCATTATCAAGAGGAGATTGACCCCTGAACCTGGAAGTAGGATATGAATTTCATATTATTTTAAGAGAGGAAAGCCTATAAGACAGATCAATCATAGGATAGGGTTTTTAAACTTATCCCATAGGAGAAGAAAGTTAATAAGACGAATCGATCATATGGCCCCTGGACTTGGAAATAGACAGTTAGTAGAAATTTTGTGAGTGCCTGAGATGTCAAAAATAAATCTAATCTCTCAAACAAAAATGTAGCGCCTTGTAAGGGGATTCCCCCTTCTTTCTGAATAAATAAAAAGTACTTCTGATAGGAAATCTCCTTAGCGGTCGGTCAACCTTGTTGACCTTGTAGTTTTGCCCGCCCTTGCGATTATATTTTATGATTGTTTGCTCGTTTATTTTACTGCAATATGTATTTTAAAGAAATATTCAGAAATAAATCATTATCTATCTGTGCATTTGTAAAAGACGCAATCTATTACACTGCTCATGGGTGGGGTGGTGGTCTCCATGGGATTTGTCTGATAAGCCCCATTAGCTAGTTACAAAATGGGGAACTCCCGTAGTGTTTTTTAACCAGGCCAGGTTTAGACCATGATTTTATTCAGGTTTTCCCTATTTTAGTCTTATTACGAGTTCGGGGACTGTCTGTGTTAACAAGTGAATATACCCCCTGCCCAAAGGTTTCAGTCCCTTTACAGAACTTGATGTAAAGTAGACGAACAAAATTAGTTATCTCCGTATTGGAGCACCCAAAATGGTCGCTATAAACCACAGCCCTCGTCGGAACACAAACATCCCTCCCCCGCACATTCCAAAAAATGTATCAATTTCATAAATTGAGTTTTTATCAGGACCTGTGAAGCCAAATTAATATATAGATTCCTTTGGGAAATACCTCCTTTCAGAACATAATCATACCACCTTGAAAAAAAAAGTTACCTCTGTACATCCCGAAGAATCCTTCATTTTTGAAAACTTTAACGAAGCAATCAAATCTGAAAAATAAATTGGGTTTCAGAAACAAGGTATTGAGATTCGGACAAATCAAGTGGGGGACAGATGTTTTACATTTGAAATATTCGAACGCCGAGTTTATTATGCTGTTTTTTTCATAAATTGTTCCATATAAAAAAGAAAATCAAAACTATTCTATGTAAAAAGTATTTTAATACAGATATTAGAAGCTAATTTGCAATTTTACCAAGTTGAATTTTTCTATTTTTTAGAGAGAATTCATGATTTATATGTAAATTATAAAGATAAATCAGTAGATATGATGAATTTGTGCTAAATTTATTCCCAAAACGATATGTTAATATAATGTTATTCAAAAAAACATGTTTTGAGAAAAATTTGAAGAATCTAATAATTTTTTAGGTATCCTGAAATATGTGAAACTAGACGACAGACACCGAAACGTAGTATGCGTACCAGGTTAGGATTAGGCCACAATTTCAGGTACAAATACTACAGGTGTCACTTGACTAGTCCCTGAACTCGCAATAGAACTAAAATAAGGAAAATTGGAATAAAATTATGGCCCAACCCTAACCAGGTACAATACTACGTTCCGGTGTCCGCCAACTTGGTTCACATACTTCGGGAGAACCTTTTATATGCATGATTTGAATTTTGATTGAATTGGTATAGGCCTATACGGTGATTTGGCACCACATTTAATCGTAATTTATTTTTGGAAAAAAAATGCTTTTGAAAGTACGGTTTGAGAAGAAATCTGAGAATGGAGATAATCATTTTTATGAAATATTCCTTATTTATTGAGAATAAATGATTAATAATAATATGGCATTTACATGAAGTTCGGTATATTTTCTGATTTTTCACGGAATTTAATTCTAATACAATATTTCAAAATACCACAATTTTCCATATGTAAGAAATTTATTGATAAATATGATCTATTATAATATTTGAACAAGAATTTACTCAGAAAAAGGGGATTTGGGGAATCCAGCTATTCCAAAATTTTTTCATGAAATTTGATGAATTTGATGATCTCGCACTAAATTTAATCTCGAAATAACATCGACTACAAATAAAGATGTTCTGGAAAAGGCGTGTTTTGATAAATTTTCAGACAACTGAAATAACTATTTTTATGTAATTTTTTTTATTTTTGGAGAGAATTTAAAAATTTGGTAAACTTTACATAAAATTTAGAAGATATAATGAGTTAGCACAAAACGCCCAAAAATACGGATGTTATGAAAAAGGTGTGTTTTGAGAAAGGAACCGCAATAATCATTTTCATGTAAATTTTTTCTTATTTTTGGAGAGAGAATTTAAGAATTATGTGAATTTACACAAAATTTGGAAGATATGATGATCTTGCAACAAATTTAATCCCAGAATAACAACGTCTAAAAATAACTATGTTCGTAAAAAGGCGTGCTTTGAGGAAAAAAACAAAACTATTTCATGTTATTTGTAGGGAGAATTCAAGAATTATGTGAACTCTAGAAGATCTAAATATGAGCCCAAGAATAACGATGTCCTGTAAGGGTGTGTCCAGAGAAATATTCAGAAAACATAAATGGTTATTTTTAAGTAAAATTTTCTATTTTCGTGGGAGAAAACAAATTATTGTTTGAATTTACATGAAATTTGGTATATTAGGTGATTCGGCATCAATTTTATTCTCAAAATGGCACAATGTCCTGTATGTAACAATTTTGTTGCCGAATAGACAAATTCAGGACATTCTAAATTAAATTTGTTCATAATGGCATTCTTAGAACGGCCGAGAATTAAAATTATAGAATTGGGCTATTTCACTACATTCATATTTGTTCAAATCCAAAATAATGCAATTTGTAAACATCACCATTTAATCTGAAATTTGCGATTTTTTATAAGTGAACTTTAAATAAATTTTGAAAAAACGATTTTTGGGCCAGATTTGATCTTCGATAATATCTCGTTTAAGCCTCCTTGTAGCAACGGCCACGCAAGGATCCGAAGTAGGAAATAGACAAGGAGGAAGGGCCTGCAGTTCAGTACAGAATGTGCTAGTACTTTAAATATCTTTGAAACAGCAATGCGAATAACTCTTATTAAAAGCCGGTCAATTTTATGGCATAAGAGCTATTTCGTTTAAGCATTCTTGTCGCAACTGACATACACGGATCAGAAGCAGGAGGTAACCAAGCAGAAAGGACCTGCAGTTCAGTAGTTATGGAGTTTCCTAATGCTTACAAAATTAAATATCATTACAATATTTTAACAGCTGTACAGATAACTCTAAAAAACGGCAATTTTGTGGCATGAGAGCTAGAAAAAGTCTTTTTGTTATTATTGATATTCTATCAATTGATTCATGAGCAACATGCAAAAAGGTTTAGAAACTTTAGTTTAATGTCTAAAACGTGAAAATTTAATACGAATATTTGTACGTTAGGTTTAGTCTTTGACAGATTCCGTCCGCATTTTGAAATTGTCCATTCTGAAAAACAAGCCTTTTGTTACATGACAAAGAAAAACGATATTGTGAACAAATAAAGTAAAACAATAAAACAAAAATAATGAAATACATTTTCTTATAAATCACTGAACCTGATTACGAAACGCCAATTACTAGCATGCCAAAAGCGAAAGTTTCGAATAGGTGAAGGATGAGAAACATGAAAAACACAGTCAGATTCAGCCTTTAAACAAATTAAGTGCAGAATAAGATATAAAGCAGTCCTTGACAAACATAATTACCAACCAAGATAACTTCACAGGAAATTCACAGAAAATTTTTGATAGAAAATTACCTTGTATACCAAGAAAAACAAGTAATATGCGCATGAGTTGGATACGATCGGTACTCACTTTAAGCACAACAATTGCGAAAACTGCGAGTGATTACCGGCTCTGAGATATCTTACTTATGAAGCCAAATTAATGCCTAAATTAATTGACCTATTTACAATTAAAATATTTAATATAATACAAAATATAGTGAACTCACCAAACAATTTATCTGTTTCATAAAAAATTATTGAAAAATGAAAATAAAATTTTTATTACTTACGTATTTTTATAGAGGACTTCTCCATTTACTTTAGTCTGATCGTGAAGTCGGGTTTTAACCAGATCAAGCGGAAAGGTACAAGTAACACCAGTTAAACCTGCAATTCCACCGTTCAGGACACGAGCTGGTAGTCTGAGGAAATAGAAAGGGTTAGAATTTATACATATTTATCCCGGGGGAGAGGAAAGCCGATAGGTAGGCCTAATCATATGGCAAACCAAAGCCTCTCGTCCAGTTACCAGTCCATGTTGGGTATGGGATTAGTCAGCCCAGTAAAAAAATTCCATGACGGACCCCTTGAAATATTTTTTAAAGATTCCCAGCCTTATATATAAAGCGCAACTCTAATGGCATGTGTGATATCCAGTCTGTTTTGATATTTGGTAAACGTGCAAAAGGGTAGCGTCAGCTACATCTCTGCAGTTAATGATGGCATGAATTGAACTCTCTCTGTGATATCACAGGCCCACAGCTCTGTGATATCACAATGGGGCAGCGTGATCAAAACAGAAAGTGAAGAACATGTTGGTTCAGTGGCGATTGCGAAGCAGCAAGAAGCGACAAATGTGTATTTGCAAATTTAAGCACTTAATTTTTGTATTATCCGGCTATGAGCCGTATTACACATCTGTTTCGCGGACCCTCCGAAAGTGCTTCACAGAACCCGAAAGGTCCGCGGGCCCCAGTCTGGGAACCACTGAGTTAGCCAGTTATTTGTTTACGGATGCATGGATTTGTTTACATACACATGCTCAAATTGTAATAATGAAGTAATTTTTGGCGTTATCTATAACATACAAAGAAAAATATATAAATTGTTAAACAATTTCGCTTAAGTTTGATGAGCCATATTAAATCACTACATGGGTTGTAATTGGCCCACGGTTTGAGAACCACTGGTTTAGGGTTCGAGACTGCCCTCCTGTCCGGTTACCAGTCCATGTTGGATACGATATCAATTAGCCAGTTATTTGGCGGGCGTATTCATAATGCTTAATACGATGCGCTAATTGCCAAACTGAATGGGTTCAGTTCAGTTCTGTAAATAGGAAAATTAAGATCTTAAATAAAAAAATAACTTCAACTCACTCTGTTGTGAAAGTTCCTCTGCCTTCAACCTTTAAATGAGTTGCCATTTAATTTTCAATAAATTTCCAGAAATAAAATATGGAGAAAGAATGGAATAAAATTAGGTAATTCTACCTAAAACTTAAGGCCTAGAGATTCTAATCTGGCTGTAAAAATAGAAGAATAGATTTGAATTAGATTCTGGGAAAGCCGCATCAATAATATTAGGATTTTTTAGGAGGATTTGTTTGAAGCTAGGTCACTTGCATTCACTCGGAAGTAAAGGAGACTCATTTCTGAGCGAAGTTAGAGGCGACCAGAATTATAGTGGTCCAATACTCCACTCCAAAGTTAATAAGACTCTTCTCTGAGGAAAGTTCAGGGTACTCACTCAGAAATAAGGAGGCTAATGACACTCACTCGGAAGTAAAGGAAACTCATCTCTGAGCAAAGTTACGTTCACTCACTCAAAAGTAGAGGACACTCATTTCTGAGCAAAGTTACAGACACTCACTCAGAGGTAAAGGAAACTCATCTCTGAGCAAAGTTACGTTCACTCACTCAAAAGTAAAGGACACTCATCTCTGAGTAAAGTTACACACACTCACTCAAAAGTAAAGGAGGCTCATCTCTGAGCAAAGCTATGTGCACTCACTCAGACGTAAAGGAGGTTTATCTCTGAGCAAAGTTATGGGCACTCTCTCAAAAATAAAGGAGACTCATCTCTGAGCAGAGCTACACACACTCACTCAGAAGTGAAGGAGACTCATCTCTGAGCAAAGTTATGGGCCCACCTTGTGAAGAATATTGTGGGATTTCGTAATATTTGCCAAATCGGAATTGTGAATACATAGACTACTTGTTGCGGATTAATGGTACTTGAATAACAAGACTGAAATTCCGTAACTTTTTGTTTGAGGTTTTAAGTGGTTGCCAGAATAAATATAAATGTTTTGACAACACACAGTAGGATATGTCTGATCTACTTTTACATAATCTTGTGTCCTTTATCACTAAGAGTCATTGAATCATGTCTTGTCAGAATATTCCTATTCTAATATTCTAGCAATTATTCTGACATATATCATACCAAATCAAGTTTATTTTATTATAAGAAAAGGCGCTCCAGAAGTGGAGATATCTAAGTTTGTTCGCCTACTTTTCATGAAGTTGTGTAAAGAGACTGAACCCTATGGGTAGGGGGTATATACAAATACCGTAACTAACTAATCCCATACCTGACATGGAATGGTAACCGGACGAGAGGCCGTGGTTCGCCATATGGTTATGCCGTCTTATCGGCTTTCCGGGATAAATTTGTAAATCCTCTCCTATATTCCTACGACATTCAACTTAAAAATTTCCAGATTTAAAAACCTGTCTCACCTTCTTTCCCTCGACACTGCTATCTTCATTAGAACTCATAATTGCCCTCTAAAACCAGTTCACAAACATTACAAATTGAGTGAATAAAAGAAACCTATCCTAAACACTGCGATTTTTTTTTTCGCAAAAAAATTGACTAATCTAAAATTCTAATCTATCCTGTCTACACCTCTACTTTTATTTATTTCACAAAGTTTAACATAAATTATGGTGCACTATGACATCACAATCCAAATTTATTAATATAGGCTACCAGAAATTGTCAACAAAAATAATTTTCATATTTATCCAAGGGGTGTGCAACCTTATTCAGTTAGTGTGCCAAAATCAGCTAAAATTAATGATAAAATTTTTCCACGTGCCAACAGAAATATATGTGACAACTTACTACTGACATTTTTAATATAGGTATATGTGAGCCTTGAAGAAATGATAACAATTTACCTCAAACAGTGAGGACACAATGAACCAAAGTTGATTTTATTCACCATAAAAACAATGCTTACTTTCAACAAAAAAGATGAATCTTTTAAATGAGCATTAGGTTATTTTTAAAAAAAATATCAGTCTAACAAAAAGATTTTTATTACTTTTATTCTTCTGCCAGTTTGCTATATCAGACTTCTGCTGCTGCACCATCCCTGATAGGGATTTTGTATTCGTTTATATCACCTCTGGTCCTGAGATAGGACTTTCATATTGATCCCAGAGACAAACAAGAAGTCGAATGAGAGGCTGTAGTTTCCTGTATAGCCTAAACAAACTGTTTTGGTTAACTTTCCATGATAAATATAAAAAGTCTAACACTATTCTCATGACTTTTTCCCACTTTTGCGGGGCCTAGTGAATTAAACGCCTCAACTCCTTGAATATCGCCAAACAGTAATGTGATGTGGAATTTTCATGACTTTTTAAAAAAAATCTGTAATACTTTAATGCAACTGATGTAATAATAATATTTATCTCATTATTATTCATTGTCTGGCGATGAAATTCTCGACAGACGTGTTCAGTTAAAATCAATCTATTCTCAAGCAGGTATGGCCCATGCCAAATAGGGTATATTGTTCCGCGCGATTCAATCTAACACTATATACAGTGACACACAAACTGAAGAACAATAATTGCTAAAAACAGCGAATAAAGGAAATTACTGAATTAGCAACATTAATGACACTGTATTGGAAAGACTCCTAATTCTATAATCACTATTTTGCAATCTAATGCACAATCCAAATTTATTAATATAGGCTACCAGAAATTGTCAATTTCCCTCAAACAGTGAGGACACAATGAACCAAAGTTGATTTTATTCACCATAAAAACAATGCTTTGCTACTTTCAACAAAAAAGATGAATCTTTTAAATGAGCATTAGGTTATTTTAAAAAAAATATCAGTCTAACAAAAAGATTTTTATTTCTTTTATTCTTATGCCAGTTTGCTATATCAGACTTCTGCTGCTGCACCATCGCTGATAGGGATTTTGTATTCGTTTATATCACCTCTGGTCCTGAGATAGGACTTTCATATTGATCCCAGAGATCCCAGAGATCCCTTGTTTGTCTTATCATGGAAATTTAACCAAAACAGTTTGTTTAGGCCCTAAACAAACTGTTTTGGTTAAATTTCCATGATAAATATAAAAGTCTAACACTATTCTCATGACTTTTTCCCACTTTTGCGGGGCCTAGTGAAGTAAACGCCTCAACTCCTTGAATATCGGCAAACAGTAATGTGATGTGGAATTTTCATGACTTTTTAGAAAAAATCTGTAATACTTTAATGCAACTGATGTAATAATAATATTTATCTCATTATTATTCATTGTCTGGCGATGAAATTCTCGATAGACGTGTTCAGTTAAAATCAATCCCCCTCAATCTATTATCAAGCAGGTATGACCCATGCCAAATAGGGTATATTGTTCCGCGCGATTCAATCTAATACTATATACAGTGACACATAAACTGAAGAACAATAATTGCTAAAAACAGCGAATAACAGTTTGACACTGTATCGGAAAGACTCCTAATTCTATAATCACTATTTTGCAATCTACTGCGCAATCATTAATTGTTTTTTCCAGGAAAATCAAAATTAACTTATTATATTATTTGATCTTGTGTTACTCTGACCATCGAGTCTAAAACAACTTATAACTATATACCGGTAACGATATTCCATTTAATCCAGTAATCTCGTTAATTAGATTAAGTGTTAATTTTATTGACGGGCTGCGTAGCTGACTTGATTACCTTGGGTAGCTTCGTTACAGCCTAGTCACAGTCATTACATTTTTTCTAATTTGAAGAAACAGGGAGTTTACCTCGTTGAGGGAATAAACTACCATACCGATCTTCTTCTTCTCACATAGGACATGGACGTGCTATAAACTAACTGACTATATTGTACATTTCAAACTAACTGAATATATTGTACATATCGTCGGCTTGTTTATTTTACTCAAGTTGTATTTGTATAGCCTATATCATGTCTGTTGTCCTATTATAACACAGCAGTCCTAAACTGCTGTTATACTTGTTGGGGTGCTTGTCGCACATCTGTGTCTTAGGCCAGTAAGGTCTTGAACATGTATTCCCGTCTCTGTTATACTGTTTAATTATTATGCAGATACAGAGATATCATATTTCTGAGGCAAATGAACGTACATACATACGGTACCGGTACTATACCGTAAACGCAGGTAACTTCGGATGGTTTATAACTTCGGATGAAATTTTCAATCGTTTATATCTCGACTAAATTACGTCATATTCTGCTTCTGGCAGTTTCTATAGAGAGTCCTTATATATCTTAATCTCTTATCATATTCAGTCGCCTAATAGGATTTATTTTTTGCACAAAAAATCACCTTTTTGCCAAAAATTGACACCTCGCTTTTGAGCGGCTAAAATAGCGACTTCTATCGACGCTAACTTCACTAAAAGACCGTCAATCGCTAGAGGGCATACACAATGTACAAGGAAAATTACAGTGATCACGAGATGTCGTACGAGATTCAAGTAAAATATATTATTTTGATTTAAAAATTTCGTGAAAATATCGACGTTACGGTGCTTACGCTGAACGTGACGTCAACAACGTGATTCAATTTCGCTCCATTTAAGGCCGACGTCACATTGCGTAGCTCGTGCGTAACTCGCTGCGACATTTGAACGCCAGACTATGTGGCGCCACGTGTAGTTAAATATAAAGTGAAAACTCCTACCTGATCCTCGTCACCAAATCCTACAAAAACTTAATTATAGCCCCGGTCATATGCTGTTTATTTATTGTGAATCCGATTAATGCACATTAAATTTGTGTGTTAACATTTCGGCATTCTTCGACCGTATAGATGTTGTTGATACGTAAGGCTGATGAACAGCCAGATACGCGTATCTATACTATCACAATGACAAGGTTTTACGATCGGCGATGATAATATATTAAGAGTAGAATGTTGCACAGGTGAGCATGAAACTCTGCACAGGTGCACACAGCAGGAGATTGGAGGTTTTTGGCGTTTTCATCCGTTTCATGTCTATCTGCCTGTGAATACATTATATCTGAATTATCAACACGGCCACAAGCTACACTGTTCCATATTGTTGTCCACTTCCATTTTTTTTACTTTTACTACCTACCGTAATTCATCATCCATTTTTCTTTTTTATTATTTTCATTCGTTTCATTTTTGTTCTGTATTAAAAATTGTTTTCCATTTTTACTTTTACGACTTATTTTATTCGTCCGTTTTTTATTTTCATTTGTCCCATGTTGTCTCATTTTTGTTTCGTATTGAAACGATCATAATAGCAAGATATAGCACTTTCATGAAATTAAGAATAGTCAAGAGATAAATGGTTTAGTTTTGCGAAACGTCAGGAATAGGGCTGGGCAAAATTATTACATGCGTTGTATTTTGAAGCATTTAGCGGTAATAATTATGGCGCGACACTGTCAAAATCGTCGAGTAAAGTGCTGAGTTCGCAAATTCCGCAGATAAAATTGTGAATTAGTCGGTAACGGTTTTAGCTATAATAACCGTTGGGGTATTGTTTTGTTCAAAAAAAAAGTTAAAACTTGAGGGAAATAGTTATAATTAGTGTCCGACCCGCTATCAGGACCAAAAGCCTTATGACAAGTATAAATGCATAACGGCCGATTTATTCAATCATCATTATAAATAAAAATTCAGTATTCGCACAATCGCGGGTGCAAAGCATAACAACATCAATCATCGTCTTAATAAATATCTCCATCTCGGCGACGATAATAATATCACCGTTCGCTTTAAACTCGAACGATTAATAGTATACAAACGGTGATAAGTAAGATCAAAGCCAACACGTAAGATTAAATCAGAACAAAATTAATTTGGGTTTTGAAATCAGTCCTTCTTGTCTTCAAGAGCTGTTGCCGATGTAAACACACGGGTACACCAGATATATAAAACTTTGATGTCCGCCGACCCGGAAGAATAATCCGGAACCCGGAATAATCACAAAAACGGCCGTCATAGATGAACGTCAGTGTGCGACACGCAAAACGAATCACGGCGTCGTAAGTTCTACGCAGCGACGTTATCACGCGTCACTGATCACGCAGACATTTCTCTCTCACGACGAAGTGACGCAAAGCGAAAAGTGGCCATCCGAAGTTATAAACATTTGGAATACAGATCGGCAGGCAAATAAAGTCAATAATTTGAATGAAAAAAAGTATTGATTGATATGAAACCGAGTTTATCGCGAGGAGAAAGGCTTCAATGTATTATATTCCAAGTTTGGCTTCAATTGAAAAATAAACGGCGGAGAAATTGTTCATAATATAGTGAAATCATCCGAAGTTACCTGCTTTTACGGTACTGCCTGACTGTGTTACCAGACTCAACTTAAGTCTGTAAGTATTCTCAATCAATACAACTTTCAAACTCTAGTGACTAGTCAACTTACAGACTTATTGAACAGTAATAAAGTATTATTGGATTGATTATACTATTTTCTACTGTTCTAATTGTTAAATCTGCTTACAGTCAAATTACTTTGCGGAAATACTGAAGCATATTGATAACACTTGAAAATCAGCGCCAGTACAGGTGATTCAGTTAATATCAGTAAAAGTAATAAAGCAGTCAGTAAAACAAAACTGAGGTGACCCGTCAAAT